TTCTTCTCTTGCTTATAGAAGGCACAAATTTGAACTCCTAATGGCACATATTAGGTTGTCAAGAAAATAATGTCCGTTTTTATTTGCTTGCTTTAACAAAGCAACCAGACTCAACCCAACAAAGGGTATGGGGTACTGTTCGATAGAGCAAAGCAAGCTCTACAAGATGGCACTCATGTCTTTGCGCCATGCTTGATCCACGGAGAGTTCGAACTCAAAATCTAAAGATTTCCAAATGCCCAAAAAATCGGAAAAAATCAGATCTTCGTCCAAATAATTTCTACGGACCTCCCACTCGCTCACATCAATACTATTTATATCTGATATCCACATGTGCGATTGCCGTATTTTTTCCTTGACTAGAAACTGAGAAAACGAAAATTTCCCTGATTTTCTCAAAGCAATGCTGAGCCGTTTTTGCATATGTAGTTCTATACTACAAGCCTAGGTAAGCATAACTGTAGGTTTTCAGCCTATTTCGAGCGGTACTTTTCGAGAAATGTCGATTTTAGCACTGAAACTGAAACGAAAAAATCCGAACTCGTTATTTTTCGAAAACTACCGCTTGGAATGGGCTGAAAATCTACACTTATACTTACCTAGGCTTGTAGTATAGAACTACATATGCAAAAACGGCTCAGCATTGCTTTGAGAAAATCAGGGAAATTTTCGTTTTCTCAGTTTCTAGTCAAGGAAAAAATACGGCAATCGCACATATGGATATCAAATATCGATAGTATTGATGTGAGCGAGTGGGAGGCCTGTAGAAATCATACGGACGAAGATCTAATTTTTTTCAATTTTTTGGACATTTGGATATTTTCAGATTTTGAGTTCGAACTTTTTATGGTTCGAGCTTGGCGCAAAATCATGAAAGCTATCTTGTAGAGCTTGCTTTGCTCTATCGAACAGTACCCCTTACCCTTTGTTGGGTTGAGTCTGGTTGCTTTGTTAAAGCAAGCAAATAAAAACGGACATTATTTTCTTGACAACCTAATAAAATCGCACATGGAAATTGCCGTTTAGATTAATTCTCTGTTCCCTACGAGGAGATCCCACAAGAGGTGGATGTAGCAAACTAGTCATATCCAGATCAAAGCTTAAGATTCGGAGAAATTTTTTCACTTGCCGTGTCATTCATGACATGGACAAGCTTCTTAGAAAACGATTATTTCTTAAGTTGTCTTCGTTTAAGATTGTTTTAAGAAATTATCTACAGTCACACGATGATATTGTTACTAACACGGGTCTGAGTACTACTACCTGAATTTTAAGGTTGTGTTGACATACTTATTTGTTGTTTGTGTTGATTGTTTTATTACGATTTGCCATAGGGGCAACCCTAGGTAATAAATGAAATGAAATGAAAGATTTATACTTACGCCTGTATGCACTAACATCACGACTCGGCGCGCTGATGGGATGCAGCTTAAGAATAAAAAGGGAAGATAGCACTAAAACAAACACGACTAAGGGCCGCATGCATGAACGCCCCCACTGGGGAGGGAATCGCAGTCTAGAAAGAAAGCTTCATATCCTGAAACTCCAGATATCTGAATTTCACGCTGTATACCCATCCGTAAGTATTCCTATCATCTTTCACTGTGAACTTATTGAACAGGAGCGAGAAGCTGTACAGGCCGCATTTTCTAGCATTTTGTATGATCCCCTGACGTGGCCGACCGTCTTTTCTCAGAAGTCACTTTTCTTTCTTCGAAGATAACAAAAGAGATTCCTTCAAGAGTTGTACTGAACATCTAACACAACGGTGCTAAACACGTTGCTGATAAGAACAGATGAGTTTTTAAAAAATCGAGTTTTTCCACATACCCCAACATTCGACTTGTGCAAATATTATGACTCCAATACAGCATTTGTTCTTATCAGCAACTGCTTACCACTGTTGCGCTAGATGAACGGTACAGGAATGTTTTCGCCAACTTCGAAGAAGAAAATGACTTAAATGAAACCAGGGATCGTCAGGGGAGCCTACAAAATGCTAGAAAATGCGGCTTAAACATTCTCGCTCCTGTTCACTATGTTCACGGTGAAGGATGATAGGAATACTTACGGATGGGTAGACAGCGTGAAATCCAGAAGTTCGGAGCTTCAGAATATGAAGCTTTCTTTTAAAGCTACTTCCCCTCCCCGGCACCCGTATGCACTGACAGGCGAAGGAGCGGCGTCGCGTTTATGACGGGGAGCTCCATCAGATTTAGTTCTATCTTCCCTTTTTAATCTTAAGCTGCATCCCATCTGCGCACCGAGCCTTTTCTCTGTGTGTTTCTGTCTTCTGTGAGTTCTCACTTTTTCTATCTCAACAGTATTCGAAGAAACCGTCTGGCGGCATTGCTGATAAAATAGGCAAATTTAAAGTGTTTTTTCATATATTGCTTTTTTCTTTATTTTTAATCGCTTTACATAGATTTTTTTTCAGCTCCAAAAAATCTTCTTATCTACTTCTGTTGAAATAAGTTCAATGAGTGAGCAACTTGCAAAATGAAGCTTCATACAAATTCCTACTTCCGACTTTTATCACAATGCCTCCGATATTGGCGCTGCGCCCTACCTGCTTGCACACCAAAATACCTTACGTATGCGATTTCACAGCAGTTGTGATACAATGACTACTGCTATAATACTAGTTGCGTCGAACGCATTGGAAGGGGTGTTGTATTCCGTTTTGCTCTACTGATTTACCTACGCTACTCTGTCCGCTCCGCCCAGGCTTTCCTTTTTTATACACCGCCACAGAATGGACACCCATAGCGTAGTTGTTGTGCGCGCTGTTATGCGGATCAGTAGTTAGGAGTAACTTGCGTAGCAGCTAGCTCTGCAACCATCTAACAAGGCCTAGCTCACTATATATTTGCAAAATGTTTCGACATGCCACGACATGGTCTCTTCATGTTGTGACAATTATGAAGAGTATTCTACTATACCCTAAACATTTTTGGAAATGCGGCGGCAATACGGAAGACTTGTCCGCAACGAATGCAAGGCAAATACGTGGGTCCTAGTTTTTGATTGGGTAATGAATGATGACTACAGAAGGTCTGTTCTCTAAAAATCTGAGCGCAAGAGTTCTAAAACATTGAGTTACGCAAGTATTAGGCATGCAAGCGCAGGTTGATGGTAAAAACAGCTTAGTCTTTAGTAAGCTCTCTCCAGTTCATTGAATCAATTGACTCAATCTATCTTCATTTAGGGTTAGCCATAGTGTGCACACATTCTGGGGCTAATGGAGCAATAAATATTTCCGAACTTCCCGTTAAAGTTGCAATGCTTGCATAAATTCATGTGCAGTTTTCTGCTAGTTTACTGAATATGAGGTACGTGGTCGAAACCTAGTTAGAGTAAGTTTGACTCCGCAGTTTATCGATTCATATGGCGGCTCCGCCAAGTTGCATCAGTACGAACTCATTCTGAATTAGATTCGCGAAGCTAGAGTTTATCGCGAACTACGTACGTCACCGCCAATTGCTGCAGAAGTAGGTAAAGACAAGCAAAACAGACTTGAAGAGCTTGATCACGCGTCAAGCATTCGGCGTAATGCTCAGAATTTCGTCGATTTCATCACCGCCTCATTCAATGGTTTAGGCGACGAGATCGCAACGACGACGCATTGTTCACGTAGCAATCACTTACTTCACTCTCAGCATCTAGCCTTGCTTAGGCAATCGTGACGAAAACTGAGGACAAAAATCTGGACAATCTGCCAATCTTTAAACTTTCAAATTCTTACAAGCTTATCAGTTTTTTAAAACCCAAATTCTGGTCTTCGTAAATGAATAGCAACAATTAGAACACCCTCTACTAAGTTTTTGACGGAAGAAGCAAACACAAAAAACAAAAAGCTAGGAAATACCCTGAGGTTTTGAAGTGTTTTGAAAAGAAATATATCTTGAAGCCTTCTTGAGAAAAAAAGCACAGCCGTGCAAAAACGACAAACACAAACTTGACTGTTTCGTACTGATGCAATAAAAACAAAGGAAAAATTCTCCTACTTGTGAGGATAAGGATAGCGAAAAGTGAGAATACCCAATCAAGATTACTGTGTAGCTTTTTTATTAGAAGGAAACACTTCAACACTCATATCTTTAGAAAACAAACCAGTGAGATGTTTTGGAAGTCACCCCAACAATTCATTCTAAAAAAAGAGTCAAATTTTTATAAACAACTATCTGGAGAAAGGGTCAAATTTTTTATGTACAACCTTTTTAGAAGCAAGATCTTCCTGAACAAAAAACAAGCGGAAACGTCAGTCATGTCTATAAAAAAACTCTCGAAATCACCTCATCTCAGCGATATCACCCAGTCGCCGCTGCAGCTCGCGCGACGCATATAGCTGAGTTTTGCCGGAATTGCTACGAGCTGGAAAACTACGCCCTAGCCAAAAACAGTTCGCTCGGTCGCACAGGACGACTACCACAGCCGCCATGGCAGATAAGTTTACATGCAATGAGTAATAGTTGTCGTTTTGTACGAAGTGAGTACAATGTGTTTTTGCAAAGTGATAAAATTGTGGACACTATACCTCAAGCTTATAATGAGATAGTACTGGAAAGAACTGTAGGGGAAGGGGGGAAAGGAGTGAAGTTGCTTCGTCATAGCGACTGTTACATTCTGGTTTAGATAAGAAAGTATAGTAAGTAAAGGCTGCTGCATGACGAAGGCGCAATGGCGATATTAGTTGAGCGGGCGCGAACGCGACGCGCGCGTATCCTCACCGTTGTAGATCTCGCACCTCATGCACACTGCGGCTAATAAAGCCGCGTCCGCGCCCGAAGATATTTGTATTTATATTATATTATTATATATTAATTATATATTATATTATATGTGTATATATTTGTAAAGCGTAAAAGTTGACGTCATAAGTCTCTCGCACCATCTTTGCTTCGAACAGTACCTTTGTAGAAATTTACATTTCCTCTTTGAAGTTCGCTTTTTGAATAAAACTTATCAGATCGCAATTAAACAAAAAACAGAAGACTTACTCCAAAAAGAATCCATTTGCGATTTTAGCTTGCGCCCCATTCGAATGGTTGGTGATATTTTTTGAAAGATCCGAGTAGAAGTTTACGATAGCACCATCGCCGGCTCCTCAACAGTTATAAAAACAATAGTTTAAAGAAATGCATGGTGACGTGAAATACTTGTGAAAATATCAGATGTAAATTTACTTTCGTGAGGCGATGTTGTGTACAGTGGCAAAAATCAAGTTGGCAGATGTGATAAAGACTTTTGCAACGCAAGCAAGAAAATCAGAGATATATTTTTAAAAAGTTACATCCCTTACAATTTGTCCTGTTGTAAAAAAACAATCAGCTGTATTTTTTTTTGATAGAAGCTGTTTCTCAAATAAGGGGCTACTCTAATATCATACCGTTCGAGATTAGCTGATTGATCTGCGTCTTTGTTCGTCCTTTTGCTCCTAGCTGGACCATAGCAAGAGCGAAAATGACCGAAAGTGGAGAAACTACCATTTGCTCAGACGCAGGAGATTGTCGGAGCATGTTTAAGCCAAAGTTCATCTCTGCGATTTGCATGGATGCGCTAAAAAAATTTCACAATCATCTTCTATTTTATTAGGTTGGAAACTAAGTCTTGCAACTGCTTTCATAACTCAACTCTCTTTGAACGTGTTGCACTCAAACTTTGTGTTGCACTCAAACTCAACACGCAAACGCTATATGTAGAACTCAATGTGCGCTACAATCATGCTCGAACTGCTTAATTTTTGAAAACGAATCAAAAAATAACAAGCCTTTCTCCCAAAAATATCAAATTTCGAGGATTTATGAACTTCGTAGCAAAAATGAGGCCGTTCGCGATCCACACCATGCGTAATGATCCAAAATTATATGTGAATTATTGCTTAAGGTTGACTCATTTGGCTCAATAGGAAAGGAACAGATTTGAAAGAGAAATCGTATTCTAGCGCCTTCAAACAGTTGAAGTACGCACGGCTGGGGGGACAACCATCGATGACTAAGGAGTAGGAACGTCAAAATCCTCGGAGACTTCACATAGAGAGGTTATTCGACCGCTAAACACGTATCATTTGTTCCCCAGCAAGATTCCCATAGGTACCAAGTCACCTCGCTGCCTTTCGCACTTTTGAACGTGTTAGCTTCGGGCAATTCAGTTGAAATCTCAGGAGAAACCTGCCAAAAAAGAGCGAAAGGTAGCGTTGCACTACTACGCACGCTGGTTCACATGGAAACTTTTCGGGATACACAGGATATATCACTTTCGTCTGTTAAATTACATTCTTTACTATTATTTGAAGGCAGCGTCCAGGCAGATCTGGACCTATGGGGCTTTTACGTGGAAAGTACTTTTGGGGCCCAAACTAAGGCACTGCCCAAGTGGCAACTCAGGTAGTGCTGTAATGGCTGAGATATCCCCCTCGAAACTGGCCCCCGCGACCGTGTTTCGCATGGATTCATGGCGCAAAGCGTGGATTCTGGCGCGAAACTGCCATAAATCCATGCGAATACGTTCGCGGGGGCCAGTTTCGAGGGCAATATCTCAGCCATTAGAGCACTACCTGAGCTGCCGCTTGGGCAGTGCCTTAGTTAGGGCCCCAAAAGTACTTTCCACGTAAAAGCCCCATAGGTCCAGATCTGCCTGGACGCTGCAAGGTGGGACCTCATACCGTAAAACTACAGTAATCTTACAATAAATGCTCTTACCACACAAATTCAGCATGTTATTCGTGATCAGCATGTCGGATAATCCCCCTACGCCAAGTTTCAGTTAAATCCGTAATGATTGACAATTTTCCCCTTTATATTAGGTTGTCCCGAAAGTTTTGTCCGTTTTTTCAACCTATCATAAAAACACGCGGAACGAAGATAGGGAAACGCTCTAAGAACTATCCGACGCATTTTTTCCTCCTCTTTCTAACTGTCAAGCTCGTATGCCGATTACTCTTTTGCTCACTGAGATAAACGCCGAAATTTCGAACTTATAATTTTTACTATGTCCAAGTTTGACAATTTTTCACAATCTTCATTTTCAACTTTTTGAAGACCTTTGATAGCTCTTAGATAGAGTAAGCAAAGGGCGATGCAATGCAATTATTTGGCATATCTAGCTGGCTTTTCAATATTTTTAAAGATAATTTTTTCAAAAGTCTTCTATTTTGCGAAGTTCTCAAATACAGAAACGCCTCGAACCCTAACAAATCATCGAATTTTGAAGCTTTCAAAAATCGATTACGATTATTCACTATTTTTACGAAGCAAATGAGCGTTTACCGCTTCGAAATATAAGATTTTGCATTACGTGTACACGCTGGGATGGGGGTCAAATTCAAGAATTATGAAAATTTTATCGCCAAAGACCCCGCAAATTGGAGAGAAAATACACTCACTGGAAAGAGGAGGAAAAACTGCATCGAATAACACCTTAGTTGTGCGCCGTTTCATGATCTCTGGCTTTTGGCATCACCAAAAGTGGAATTTGATAGCATCAGAAAAATAATTCTAAAAAATTTTCAAGACTGGCTATAGATGCCGCAAAATTGCATTATATTGCCCTTTGTTTGCTCTGTCTAACTGTTGCCAAAGCTTTTCCGAAAGTCAAAAATAAAGATTGTGAAAAATTGCCAAACTTGGACATAGTAAAAACCATGGGTTCGAAATTTCGGCGTTTATCTCAGTGAGCAAAAGAGTAATCGGCATGTGGGCTTGACAGTTAGAGAAGAAAAAGTTGCGTCGGATAGTTCTTAGAGCGTTTCCCTATCTTCGTTCCGCGTGTTTTTATGATAGGTTGAAAAAACGGACAAAACTTTCGGGACAACCTAATATTAGGTTGTCCGGAAATTAATGCTGGTTTTGATTTCCAACCGCAATAAGTCATATATTTCTCATTTTTGAATAGGTTGCAAGGTACTTTTCGATAGAGCAAAGCAAGCTCTACAAGATGGCTATCTTGCTTTAGCAGCAGCTTTGATCCACCACGAGTTTCGAGCCAAAAACTAAAAAGATTCAATTGCCCGAAAAATTGAGAAAAATCGTAACTCAGTTCGTAAAAATCCTACAAAAATTCCAACTTGCTCACGTAAACACAATCCACATAAGGCATCTATATACACCATTGCCGTATTTTTTTCTCTGTTAGAAATCAGGAAAACGGAAATTTTCGTCCATTTGCTAAAGTGGTGCTGTGCCGCTCGCGCATAGGTAGTTGTATACTACAAACCTTTAGAAGTACAAATGTAAATTTCCAGCTCTTTACAAGCTTTAGTTCGCGAGAAATTTGAATTTTAGCTTGGACCACATGACTAGGGAAAACTGTATTCGATATTTGTCAAGAACTAAAGCTTGTAGAGAGCTGGAAATTTACGTTTGTACTTTTAAAGGTTTGTAGTATACAACTACCTATGTGCGAACGGCACAGCACCACTTTAGCAAATGGACGAAAATCTCCGTTTTCCTGATTTCTAACAGAGAAAAAAATACGGCAATGGTGTATATAGATGCCTTATGTGGATTGTGAGCAAGTTGGAATTTTTGTAGGATTTTTACGAACTGAGTTACGATTTTTCTCAATTTTTCGGGCAGTTGAATCTTTTTAGTTTTTGGCTCGAAACTCGTGGTGGATCAGAGCTGTTTGTAAAGCAAGATAGCCATCTTGTAGAGCTTGCTTTGCTCTATCAAATAGTACCTTGCATCCTATTCAAAAATGAGAAATATATGACTTATTGCGGTTGGAAATCAAAACCTGCATTAATTTCCTGACAACCTAATACCATAACCTACCGTAATCCTCACTGTGACGTCAGAATTTAGTGGGACAGTATGCTCGTAGCTTACGTAAGCAACATATTGGCAAAATTTAAGTGCTTCATATCAAATGGAGCAAATTATCTAGTGAGTTGCAAAACTTAGTTTGCAACCTAATAAAATACTGCTTACTCGTCACTTGGAGAAAGGAGCGCGACAGTCATTGTACAGCCTGCCTCACAACAACTCCTAGAAAGCGTTGTAGAAGTTAGAATTTCGTATATATTGAGATCTATGATGTACACAGTCAAAAAGTCTTTTCATAGAACTACGCAAACGGGAAGAAGTAGGCAGGCGATGCATTAGTGTTACTCTTAGGTTGTCCCAAAAGTAAACTGTATTTCTAAATAAATCAAATTGTATTTGTTTTCCTAGCAGATTTGGGGCACCATTCGATAAAGCGAAGCAAGCTCTACAAAATGGCCACCAAAGACCCAAGATTATAAGAGCACCTACAGGAATAAAGTCTTAAGAATATACTTAGCAAGGCTTGCAGTATGCAATGACATATGTGGGAGGGGCTGGGGGCGGAGTTTGCCATTTTCAGACTACCTTATTTTTCTCGCTTTCTAAGCCCGGAAAAAATCCAGTAAAGGCATATTTGAGTACTACTATGTGTCTACTGTATAATGACCAAGTTTAAGTTCCGTACGATTATTTCTTCGCAAAAATCCAGTTTCCAAGTATTAGATTTTTTTCGATTTTTGCTCCAAACTTTATCTGGACTACGACCTAGACGGATCTTTTGCAGTCGTTGTGAAGAGCTTGTTTCGCTCTATCGAATGGTACCCCAAGTCTGCCAGGAAAACAAAAATAGTTTGATTCATTTAAAAATACGGTTTCCTTTTGGGACCACCTGATAGTTGCAAACAGGGCTCGGCACAGGTGGCTTGCGGGGCAAGCTGGCTATCGTTTTTAAATAAAAAACAAGGGGGATATCGTTCAAACGGACCCCCCCCCCCTCATACACAATCGCCTTCTACCTTCATGTCATCGTTCATCTTTTATAGGGATGCAAATTGTCATTCCTGCCTTATCGATTCCATTCCTGCAAAACTCAAAAAATATCCTGTTTCAAAAGATTCGCCGGTTAAGCTCGCGAATTCACACATGCCCCGAATTAAATAAAAGGCTTGTTTACAGCGAAAAGAAAACGAAATGTCACCAAAATTGGTGTGTAGATGGGCAATAGAGAGTTACGGCTATGTGCAAAAGTTATGAAAAAATTATGTGACTTAAAGGCGTGGTAAGCTTTTTTAGGAGTTAGGTGACTTTTCAGCCACCAGCCACCTGAGGTGGCTGTGGAAAGAGAAGGCATAAACTTCCCTTACATAAATTTCTTACATGTTTAACATAGCTTTGTTCCACATCAATTACAAATGAGTTTTTGAATTTCCCTAAATCCCCTCTTCCTCGCCTAGTTATAGCCCTCCAAATATTTTGTATGTCGGCGGCAAGCCTGCTCCAACCGCGTAAGGGTGCGCGCCGGACACAGCATGCTGCCAATTTGAAGAATGCGAGAATCTTTAGCTCTTTTTTCGTCTGTTCAATGTCGTTTTTGTATTTTATTCCATTATTTTTCGTTATTCGTTTGATCCATTCATGATCGCGTCATAGATGATGTCGTATTTTTGTGACGAAGTCTACGGGGATTTGTTTTTGATAAATTGAAAAAGCCACCTCATGCGAGCCCTGGGGCGGTATGCAACAATCGCCCGTCCGGGTAAGTTACCCGGACAGGTAGTTTCCGCTTCATAGTTCGATGCGGGAATCTGTGTTCTTCCTTGTTTATTCATCTATTGGAGGTTCTACTAACCTAATATTGTAGCACAATGACTAGCAGCACTTTGCTGTATAAACTGAGATAATTCATTATCTGTATGATCCCGAACGGGATCGCCCACTGATCACGCTCATTTTCAAAGTTATTTACATCCGCAAAAACTCAATAAAGACTTCACAGAGTTTTGCTGTCGACCTATTACGACATGCTAGGCATGTTTTTAGTAGCACAGATGAAATGTGCAAGTTTTGAGTTTTTCGATAGAGCCCAATTCGCGAGCACAAGTTCAGCGAAGATTTTGCCAACTTGATTTTTCACTTATTTCTTTCACAAACATGTGTACCACTTTCGTAATAAATGCACAGCAAAACTCTGTTACGTTTCCATTGAGTTTTTGCGGATATAAATAACTTTGAAAATGAGCGTGATCAGTAAGAAATCCCGTTCGGGATCATACAAATAACGAATCATCTCAGCTTATACAGCAAAATGCTGCTAATCATTGTGCTACAATATTAGGGTAGTAGAGCCTTTGATAGATGAACGAACAAGGAAAGACACAGATTCCCAGAGCACCGAGCTATGAAGCGAAAACTACCTGTCCGGGTAACTTACCCGGACGGGCGATTGTTGCATACCGCCCCTGGTTGCATATGAGCCTAGATTTGGCAGGGTTATTTTTCCAAGCGTCTATTACATTCTTTTCCTCGTGGTGATTCTTCGTAGAAGTATTCTCAATTTTGCACATATAAACAAAGAAAGCTCGCGTCCGCAAGCTTACAACGAGACGGGTTTATTATCACTCATAATTACAGACGATAGATGTATGCATGTAAAGCATACAGAAAAGAGTGCCGTTCGAGACAACCAAATGCTGTCGTGAAGAATGTAAAATTCACCGAAATAAAGCTTTAAGAAACGCTTTTGAATGCACGATTTATATCGTCGATGTCGCCATAAAATTTGGATTTGGAAATAACAGCACTATGCAAATCACCGAAGCGATCAAACATGAATAAATCAGCGGAAAGAAGGTGATGCTTAATGGCATTCCGATATCAAATGCTAGTTTCAGACACAAACACGAATAATCATTCACTGACGTATCTCTAAAGTCACAATGTTTCGCAATATTTTGTTTGGGCATTACAGCATGGAAAGGCAAGATGATTTTGGAAACGTCGTCCTACTGCGTTGGTTCAATGGACAGGCATAAAAGTCTACTCAATAAAAATATGAGAATTTGGAAGTAGATGATTGAAGTGAAGAAACTGAAGACAAATCCATCTGACTGGTCCAAGTATTTCATAAATTGTCTCAGCCCATAAAATAATATGACGCTGACTTACTAAGCAGATTAGTAGCTTTCGAATGACACGTCGCTCAGCTTTCCTATTCCTTCTTCTTTTCTTTCTCTTGCTTTCTCTTCCAGTTTTAAACATAAATGCAAGCATTTAGCATAGAGTACACTTTGAGCACTGTTACCCGATACAGGGTGGGAATGGTTTAATAGCACTTTGCGGAATCCAGATCCATTTTCCCGTTCAGAAGCTACACTAGAGGACCGGAATAACGCAATCCTACTTCTAGAGCTTTCTCGTAGACTAGGTATCAGTCCGGGGAACATAGATTTTGCCTGGATGTGCATTCAAAATTTTTTGCTTGAATATTTTGCTTTTTGCGATTCGCGACAGCGCAAATGGGGTAACCCGTATAACCTCTGTGTAATGGACACTTCACGGCAACAACTGTTAAAACTCTGTTTTTCTCTCACGAATTCTTCACATCATTTTTATATGATTGCAAAGCAGACATCGAGTTTCGCTAATGCTAGCAAATAGTATGCAACCACTCCCATGCCCAAGGAATGCACCTTTGTTACGCAGAATTCAACTACTTGAACTACTGTTTGAAAACTAGTGTTGTAGGCTTGTTGTAACTGTAGTGCGGAATACGCAGAAGTGAGCTGAGCAATATTTTTTCTTAGTTTTTTCTTTACGTTTAAGCGCACACATTGCTTCGATTCTACTGGAGTACCAATGTAGTAGTCATAGGCGAGCACCACTTACATCTGTAATCATTGATTTACACCCAATTTGACTTTGAGTTGTGAGAGCTTAGCCATATAGCCTAGCTTAGGGTTCCTTCATACTACGCCGCGCACGCCGCGTACGCCACGTACCCCGCTGCAGCGCAATGGAAATATGCTCACGGCAGCAGAGCTCCACTTTTTTTTATGTATCTCTATAATCGCTTATTATTACGAGCGTCATTTCATCATTTATTTCTGTACAGCTTTGACCCCAGTACGTTAACATTGTGAACTGTGAAGTCAGCGCCGAAACTCAATGGTGTTTTGTGAGCGAAGTAAACAAACTGCGGCAACAACGGCGCATCAAATTTGCAATTGCAGTTTAACAGTATGAAGAAGAGAAATCCTTTTCACCCAGTGATGTGTTTGTAAGATGTTAACAACGCAAATATACAACCAGATACAATATACAACCATACAACCATATATTACCAATATAAACCAGATGACGCAATGTGCAGTCAGTTACGATACAAAATGTGAAACTCGAAAGTGGAGGGAGCACACCAACCTAGTCATTCCATCAATCATTGATATAGACAAAGGATAGGCAGGATAAAGAAAGCAAAAGAGAGGAATAAATGCATAATGTGAAAGACACTATTGAGGGACACGAAGGTGCAGCAAGTATAGAGATACATCAAAAAAAGTGGAGCTCTGCTGGCGTGAGCATATTTCCATTGCGCTGCAGCGGCGTATGCGGCGTAGTATGAAGGAACCCTTAGCCTTATAAAAATCCGTTTGAAATTAGTGTAGATGAAGGAAAACTATTTAAGTTTTTTCAAATTTCACTGTAATAAATAGCAGCAAGCGATATCTTTATGCTATATGTCCAATAAATAATCTAACATTTTTGTAAGTACGAACATGAAGGGATGGTTGGCTATGAAAGATATAGGATCCTCCAAAAAAGATCATTCCCGGGATTTAAACACGCTGCTGAGGGTAGCGGCAGCAGCAGTGTGCCATCTTCGCCAATCTGCAATTTGACACAAAGAAAGCTATGATACAACCTTCACAAAAATTAGCATAAAATTTGAGTTACAAGCATTACTCTCAAAAAATGCATGCTACAGATGTGTGAGCATCAAATCTTGTGCCAAATCGATAACGATTAGATGACGAGCAAAGATTTATTGTCCCTTTCTCAATTGCGAAATTCTATAGTCGTCCTCCCCCCACTAGACACCTAGTGGACAAATTCAAATTCGAACTAGAGCACGCCGGTTGCGGCAGAGCGCGGCACCTGCAGCTCCCATTTCAATCTCATACAAACTTTTTTGTGTTTTCGCGACCTTTCAACCTAATTTTTTAATGCTGACAGTTTTTTCACTTCGTATTGAATTGTTGCTTTTATTTGAGCGATGGATCGTGCTGTATGCTCGTTTCTTTGACTACGATTCCAAGTTAAGCTTGAAAAAACGACCAAGTTTGAAAGCTGGTGAAATTTTCTCGGTAAGTTTTGAACCGTTGCTTCATTGAACACTTCATGCCAGAAATTCTCCATGTGCATCGTTTCTCCAACCTTTCCTGAAAAAGAGTAAAGCAACGAGCTTAGTACGAAACATCGCTAAGCAACAAAAAACTCTTCAGTTTTGACTACAGTCATCATTAAAACAAGGAGAACCACGATGCAACGCCAAAAAACACAAAAGAAAACTGCATTAGCTTGAAATGCATTTGACGGTGCCGCGCTCTGCCGCTACCGTCGTGCTCTAGTTCAAATTCGAATTCGTCCACTAAGTGTCTAGTGGGGGAGGACGACTATAGAAGTCAATTATGAGCAGAGCAAACGCAATTGTTCGAGAAAGAACAAAAGATCTAAGACACCTGTTTTGCTGGTTGTTCGATCCATACAAAAATTCGGGACAAATTCGGAAAATTCTTATTTTCCCTAAATCTAAACCTCTGTTTGAACAAACGATTGCTGAATTTGCTGACACATTTTCAGGTTGAAAATTCCTATACCATTGCTAAATTATTTCACACCTGGAAAACGCAAAGACATATTCAAATCAAATATGTTTTCCAAGTTTTTGTGCCATTTTAACTCACTGGTTAGTGCTTACTGAAAGCTACAAGTGTAATGGACTTCAAAATCGCTTGTGTAGTATCACCCATCTAAAAACCCCAAGGCTGCTCTACTTTAGGTTGATCTTCCCTCACTTACGGGATAAAAAAAAACAGTATTTGCACATAAAGATATCTGGATAGATTCTGTAAAAATTTTAGAGAAGCGACCCAATTTCTTGAATGCTTAAAAACTTTTGTAAATTGGCTCCAAGCTGTGGATCAATGTTGTGCAATCATGACCTAGGGTCAAGCGTGGGATGTGGCACGCCACACCTTGGGGTCATGTGAAGTGTCAGAGAGGGAGGGGTCGTAACTGAAATAGCTTTGGTGGTGCTGAAAACATGATATTTGTTAGAATATCGGATAACCGCGTTATGTAAAAAACAAGCACGGTGAAATGTTGACTGTATCCATCACTGTATCCATCTTGAGGGGCATGCAAGTGTTACCCAGGCAGCCACCTGGTGCCGCAGCCAGCCGCCAGAGCTGGCCCAACGCCGCGGCTGAGCTACCGTAAGCGCGCTCTCGTCGTCCGTAACCTCTCACAGAGAAATTTTTGCAGCAGCCTCGCACCTCTGAAACGAGAAAGTTATCAACAGTTGAACAGTAGACACATTTTTGGAAAATACTGTATATCTATATGCATTTATATCTTATATATAAATGTATATAGATATATATAAACTTATATATATATATAAACTTCTTTTCAAACTTCACAGCTATGGCATCAGAGGCTCTTTACTGCAATGGTTTTCATCCTATCTCAGGGAGAGAGGAATGACAGTCCGAGTGGGTCATAAATACTCTGAGCGATACCATTGTGGCAGTGGAGTACCACAGGGTGGTATCCTCTCCCCCTTACTTTTTTTGGTGTATGTTGCTGAGCTACCAACATGGTTGAAGACTCACCCCGAGATTAAAGTTCAGATGTTTGCTGATGACATCAAGGTCTACTTTTGCTATTCCGAAGACCAACAGACAGAAGCTTTCGAAGCGCTCTCGATGTCAATCCAAAGAATGGTAGCTTGGTCAAAAATTTGGCAAATTCCTGTCAATGCCTCCAAGACTACTGTCATGCATCTCGGTGATTCCCCTTGTGCTACCTACAGCTGCGATGGTGTTGCTCTTGAGAGCTCCTGTGTTGTAAGAGACCTCGGAGTATTGATTGACAATTCACTCAGTTTTTCCTCTCATCTTGAGTTAGTAGTGAAAAAGTCAAACTCAGTCCTTTTTACAATTTTTAGAAGCATACACAGTAAAGATCCGGAAATTTTTTTGAAACTGTACAAGAGCTGCGTATTACCTCATCTGGAATACGCATCTCCTGTATGGAGCCCTTTCCTCAAAAAAAGCATTGAAAAATTGGAGAAAATACAAAAGACTTTTACTAGAATCCTTTTTTACAGATGCTTTCCAAATTCAGGATATCCGCAATCTTTACCGTCGTACCATGATCGTCTCAGAGGTTTAAATCTTCAAAGTTTGAAATATAGACGGATTGTAAGCGACCTAGTGCTTTGTTTTCGAATCTTGCGATTAGAAACAAAACTTAGAGCTAGCAAATACTGGGTTTTCAAACCTTGCAGTCAGAGAACAGGTGGGTTTTACCTTCATTATCGTAAACTTGGTAATAGAAGATTTCTGAAAACTTTCAACTCTTTTATTTGCCGTACAGCTAGATGGATATCACTTCTTCCGATAGACTTGATACAAAGTGAAAATTCTTGTGTTTTTCGAAAGAAATTAGAGAGAGTAAATGTTCTTAATATTTTGAAAATACCGGATTTTTAGGTCACGTTATATGCTTTTGCTGTGGTTCTACGCATTAATGTGTTCGTTCGGTGTTCCCTGGGTTCTAGACTGCGGTTGTTTTATATCATGGTCAGCGCTACAATGGTTTGCAAATGTTTGTGTTGGCTAATGTCGGAGCAAAAAATACAAGAAGATAACTAGAGATGAGATTTTTTTTAACAAGTCGAGCTTGTGTTTTCTTACTAACCACTGTTAGGATTGTTTTTTTTATTTCGATTTTACTAATTTTTTGATTGGTCGTGCTGTTCTAGCTTTCCGTTCTCGGTTCCTTGTTTAGGCGCACCTAGAGTGCATCAAATAAATAAATAAATAAATAAATATATAAAGCTGAATGTCTGTTTGTCTGTATGTCTGTCTGTCTGTATGTCTGTCTGTCTGTACGTATGTTCCGAATAGAAAATTCCATTTCTGAACCGATCGGGACCAAACTTGGCACACATACACTTCGGGCCCCGGCGGGTATCATAGGCTACCTTTCGTCATTGATCGACATCGATTTCATCGATTTTTATCGATTTTTTTGCAGAGTTCACCTACGGGGCTGGGAGTTGGCACAGGGGGGTAATCGAGCATGCTGATCACCCCCGTGGGAGTGATCAGCATGCTCGATCACACCCCTCTGCCAAATTTCAGACCCCTAGCTCAAATTTTGCAAAAAATCGATAAAATCGACATTGTTCGATAACGAAAAGTGGACTGTGACACCCGCCGGGGCCCGAAGTGTAAGTGTGCCAAGTTTGGTCCGGATCGGTTAAGAAGTGGAATTTTCTATTGGAACATGCGGCGGAGCCGGGTAAGCCAGCTAGTCTTCAATATAGGGGAGAATTGCACCTATAAGTTTGAGTCCGAAACAAACGAACTTATTCCAATGGTAACAGGCATCTATTCTATGCACATCAGCTCCAAAACGACACTTGCGCAAATACAGTCAACCCCAATCCGGTGTACATCATGAAACCTGAAGGCTACGAAGATGAAGAGGGACTTTGTACATCGATATCTTATCGCACATCTGCTTCATTTTACAGAAGAAGAAATGCAATAATTTCATTGCTTCAATCTTGTGCTCATGTTTTTAATATCGTTTACAGTCTTGCACCTGAAGAACTGAAGTCACTTAATTCACATTGTGTACAAATTTTGTAGAAAGTTCGCGATAAACATCCGTTTTAAATACCGATAAATACATAACCGAAATAAAAAATATGAAATGCATTCTAAAAGTTCTCTAAAGACGAGAGCGCAAGTTGCGCTGTATTTGATCACAACGTCAGATCTCGCGCTAAAGCTCGGATTTTCTTTCGGTCTGCATGAATGCGGGAGATTAAGTTGTCTCGGGCAGTAATCCCCCGGTCGAAATACCGTTGTCCGGATTTTTTCGCGACAAATTTGGTTAAGTCCCGCAGTCATTCTGTCGCTACGTAAGTTTTCTATGCGCGCGAGTTAACCACGAATGTCTGAGTGCGGCAGAGTAAACTGCCTCTACGGTTTACAGGCTCTCGCAAGGACTCTGCGTCTCTATTCTGGCGGCGATTGTTTCACTCGTCTAAATTAGAATTGTAAGACTTCAAAATGCATGTTCTCTTTTCGCGCTAACATGGAATTTCGGATTTAGCGTTGCGAATCGAGTTTTCGCTCGGGCACTGCCTTGGACTATAGTGGCATGCGCATGCTTGCAGTTTGAAATGCGCAGATGATTGAACGCAAACTCCCAAATCTTTCAATTTCATGGCCGGATTTCTCATTTCAAGTATTTTTGACTTCGCACTTGTACGAGGGCGTGTCTGGAAGGGGGAGGGCAATTCCAGATGGAGCTAAAATTCCATTCATCAATCTTGCATGGACATGCATTAACGTGCCCGCTGAGAAGGGTATCGCAATTTACAAAGAAAGCTTCACATCCTGAACCTCCAGATATCTTGATTTCGCGCTGTCTGTCTGTCCGTAAGCATTTCCACCATCAAGCTGTAAAAGCCGCGTTTTCCAGCATTTTGTATGATCCCCTGATGCTCCCGGCGGCCACCGTCTTTTCTTCGAAGTCACTTTTTTCTTCGAAGTTCACGAAAACCTTCCAAAGTTGTACTGAACATCTAACACAACAGTGCTAAACATGTTGTTGTTAAGAACAGATGAATTTTCGAAAAATCGAGTTTTAGTCCTCAACATTCGAATTGTTGTGGTTCATCGCAGATTTCATGACTCCAATACATCATTTGCTTATCAGCAACATGCTGAGCAATGTTGGGCTAGATTAATAGTACAACCAGGGTCAAGCAAGGGGTGTGGCACACGATCATTGATTACGACCCCCCTCCCTCCGATTGCTGTCTTAATAAGACCCCCTCCCCCTGAATTATATACCTAAAATAGCCTTACCTGAAGGCCCTGTCAAACATAATGGGCAACATATAAATGGCATATTACAACATGATTAACTTTGTTTCAAAGGTGAATTAGCTATCCGTTTTTGCACTCAAGACTCAAGACAAAGCACTACTCCTTCTTTGTCCATCTCAGAAATCCCGCTTCAAAAGACCTCCAAACTGTGGAATTAGAAGCCAACCAAAATCTCATTTATCTCATTTTTCGCATTTAATGGCTGTGCTTTCACCAAATATTACTCAGAGCAAAGAAAACGAATCAGGCTTAAATCACTCCTGTGAAAACTAGGAGATCTAGGCTATCGATCCATATAAATACTGTTTGCTAAAAATGTTTTTATGACATAGTTAATGGGGTGTGGCACACCCCTTAAAAGCTGTGGCTGCCACAGCTTTTAAGGGGGTGTGCCAGACCTCATTAACTATATCAAAAAAAATTTTTTTAGCAGACAGTATTTATATGAATCGATAGCCTAAACCACGCAGATTCGATAGGAATTAAACCTGATTCGTCTTCTTAGCTCTGAGTAATATTTGGTGAAAGCACAGCGATCAAAAGCGAAAAATGGGAAAAACGAGATTTTGGTTGGCTTCTAATTCCACAGTTTGGAGGTCTTTTGAAGCGGAATTTCTAAGATGGACAAAAAAGGAGTAGTGCTTTGTCTTGAGTGCAAAAACGGATGGCTAATTCACCTATGAAACAAAGTTAATCATGTTGGAAAATGACCATTTCACTAAGGTAGCCTAGTATCTTGAATCTTCAGAATTCGCTTAAACTTTGTCAGGGGTTAATTGACATGCTAATCAAGGATATGATACAAATGTCATGTTATCACTACTACCAGATTACCCAACTACGACCCCCTCCCCTTTTGACTCCTCAATACGACCCCTCAGGTGTGGCGTGCCACTCCCCACGCTTGACCCTGAGTACAACTTTGAAATCTTTTTTGCTAACTTTGAAGAAGGAAAAATGACTTTGAAGAAAAGACGATCAGCCGCGGGGGATCATCAGGGGTCATACAAAATGCTAGGAAATGCGGCTTGTACAGCTTCTCGCTCCTGTTCAATATGTTCATAGTGAAGGACGGTAGGAATACTCACGAATGGGTAGACAGCGTGAAATCCGGAAGCTCTGGGCTTCAGGATATGAAGCTTTCTTTCTGAACTGCGATTCCCTTTCCAGCGGGGATGTTAATGCATGCGGCCCTAAATTGTGATTAGTGTTCTTTTGTAGAGAAGTAGAAAACGAAACAGATCGGGACTATGCACTTCACAAAAAGCACTCCTTTCGAAGGGGAAACGGAAAAGACGCTTCCGTAGTGCGACGGAGATAAACGCGACGACAAAGTGATGAAGCGAAGATTTGGGTGGTCTACAAGCCTTTGGAAAACGACACCAATCAAATAATAGATTTGAAGCTGCACCTTCACATTACAACTGTCTGTAGTAAAAGGGCCGTTCAGGACTCACGGAGATTATGGGGAGATATTTTATCAACGTTGTTACTTATATGTGCGGAATTTTTATTAGAAAATAGAAGTATTGATTAGAAGTATAGATTTGCACTAACCCTACTAGTGTCTCGAACACATTAGTTGCATGAGCAAACTCTTCATACAAGGCTTACAGTCAAATACTACAAATTTTCAGCAGTACATATCACAATTGATAAGCTTCGATCACATTCTTGCAAGGAACTTTTCATAAAAATTCAATTTTTCCGAAGTTGTACACAGTGCCGTCTCATAAACCCACACAATTCGGGTGAACCGGATAGTTGAAAACCTAAAGAATTCCCTGTAGTATAATAAAATGAAAATAACACTAAGGGTTCTAGTAATCAATTTGTTCTAAGTCCCACCTCGAAATCTAAGTTGAGCCTTTCTAGCCTTTCCGTTCGAAGATAACCAAGGCTTATGCTTGTATTGAACGCTTTCATAGCCTCGACGCCACAGTTATCCAGGATCTGTCTTAAGACACATACTCTCATCTGAAAATAAATGTATTAATCCTCAAATTTGCTAACGTGTACTTATGCCATATATAGCTTGCATAGATACACTTCGGTGCAGGACGGCTGTCACAGGTACTTCCCGTTATCGAACGATATCAATTTTGTATAATTATATAAAATTCGAGCTACAGGCTGGAAACGCCACAGGGGAGCAAGTGAGCATGTTGATTACGAAAACATAGTAGGGACAGGGAGAACCGAGATTGGGACAAGGGGATGTCCAAAAATCTTAAATTGGCCATTTTTACGGTGTACTGACAAAAGCGGAGCCGGGTTAGTCAGAGAAGTTCCATAAGCACGAAACAATAGACCACAGGAGTACACAAATCAAGATAACTGAAAAAACTGATTTTGAGTTAATGATACCAAATCTATGCAAAAATAGAATATAATCCGCCCAAAAACATCTGACTTCTATATTTTATGCCAGGTTGTTATGCTAAAGCTTTTATTAACTTAGCGTTTCGAACAACTCGCCTTCACGAAAGCATAAGAGGGGTTGTAGTTTACGTATGTTTCCATTTGGTTGACTTGTCTCAGATGCAATGTACTGCGCAGACCAACCGAGGATAACCAGGACCTTCTTTCCTCCGTGGAGTCAGTAGCCCGCCTAGACTAGTGTGACACTAGGGCATCACTAAGTTGTCCAGTGATGTGAGCCCCAAGTAAGCCCTGCTACGAATAGTACGTGGGATCTCATACACCGATAACAATGGTAGATAACTTGATATTGTCAGACATTTATTTCTGTCGTTCATACTTTGGTTTCGAAAGTACTAAGCGCCTCAAACGTCAGAATTTCACATTATGCTAAAACCATAGCCATCGTGCCCATAGAACTTATCATTGCCTGATGCAGGTAGTAATCTCCCTCGCCTCAAGTAAGCCAAGTGCTCGCATATTCTAGTGCCTAAAGATCTACCCATCTCTTCTATGTACACTGTTTTGGAACTTGAGCATTCCAGTTGCTGGACAACTTCGTTTTGCATTTGTGCTTGTGGGAGGCAATGATTCATGGCATCGCAGACTCTATCGGAAACAAACGATATGCACAAGGTGGAGTTATTCTTGTTGAGCTCCACAAGACAAACACTTCTACGACGATCAGATTGTTTTACAGGTGATCATCGTTCTGCAACCATGAAGCCATTATGACTGCAATGTTAGCCGCCAATTTTTCGCGACTGGCGTCCCTCATCATGGTGTCATCATCATGTGTCATCACGCTTGCCCTTATTCGATGTACCCAGTATAGTTGAAACGAGCGGAAAATTTCGTCGAACGAATGAATTTCGAATAATCGGCTTTTGAAAAATACTCGAACGAACGAATATTATTCGACCTGTGATTTTCAGACTATTCGAATTCGAATATTCGAATAATGCTACATTTCAAAATTCGATTGAACGAATATTCGAATAAATGGGGTTGGTCGAATATTCGACTATTCGAATAATTGAGTAATTACATATGGTTGAATAATCGACTATTCGAATATTCGAATAATCATACCTCTCCGAATATTCGATTATTCGAATAACTCGAATAATCTAGCGCCACAAACAATGCTGGTTTTTTTCTTTGTTGCAGTTTTCTGCAAAAAAATAATAGCTATATTTGATCTAGATTTGTAGCTCTGATAATTGTATGCGTAGCAAATGGTAAGGATGACTGGGTTATTGTCACTTGGTCGAGTTCCACCTAGGAAATAAGAGAATTTTACTCAAACAAGTAGTTCAAGGTGTTCATCGGCTTTTGAGATGGCTAATGTGCCTTACCTAGTAACCGTTTCAATTCCGCATTTATTCTTCCTCACAGAAGTTTTTCCCAAAGCTAAACAAAACTTCCTCCCAAAGCTGAAGATTCAGCATGGAAAGCCTTTTATAATAGGTATGTAGTTGTTCGTAACTTATTCGTGATGGTCAGCATTGTGTGAGTTCTGAGACTAGCCCTGAGAGAGGCCTACAGTAAGTACAGTACAGACAATTACAGATATATCCAGGCCTACGTAGGCCTATAGAATCAGTGAACCTCTGCAGCACAGCTGACGCACTGTTGTCTACATAATACTTTTGTGCGCATCCAAATCCAGAAAAGAATCCTGGAAATATCTGTAATTTAGCTGCTAATCTAGTACTTGTCGGAATTATCAATCGCTGAGTTTCACAGTTTCTTTTGTAGGATTGAAATTTCACGAAGTTTTTTGGTTATATCTTTAAGGTTTGTACTGTTGTAAGGAATCTTCCATCTCTTTTACTCAGGTTGAAAATAATTATTGTTCAACTTATACGCCTACTTGAGGTATAATTCCTCTACGAACTTTGTAACATTCTAACACTAGTTTTTTTACGCCTCCTGACTAAGGGCAGCCGATTTGAATATAGTGACTGACATACAGGCTGCCGCCACAAGTCAAGCGGCTCAGGTCCTTCCGACCACCTTCCTCTGGCTTCGCGATGGTTAACGTATCTTTCAGGTATTTTGACATGCGGGCGGTGATTAGGCTGGCAAGGCAAGTGGAGATCTCGAGATGAATGAGTGAATCAATGTTGCCTATACGTGCTGCCTTACGTGCCGGACATACTTCACGCTACTTTAATCGCGACGCGATTTGGCAATATTCCAATTGTCAATAACTCACTATAAGCACATTTTATACTGCAGAAGACAGAACATTTATCAGTCCACCTAAGTTATACGTACTATGCATGTGCAGTTTGCTAATGTTGGATCTGAAGACCTTTGGCGAATTGGTCGCTCGCGACTGAAATCGCGTGAAGTATGCCCGGCCCTTTAAAGGAGCTGGTCCTTCACATGCTTATGCAAGCTGTTTGAGAACCGGTGGTCCTCTAAAGAACGCCTAATGACGGCTTTGCTTCTTCACCCAATTTAGAGTTTGGAGGTATTTCCGCATGATATCGCATTTCAGCTTTTCAGACTCGATTTCCAGAAGATAGTACAGCACTCCAAATGAATTATGCATAAGACTTGCCATCACTATGCTCTGGCATGATTCGCGACTTGTGCCTTAAAAAGTGAAGCTTGCTAGCCATTCTGTCATATGATTCATTTGCATGATTGACCGATCGGGGACATACTCGTACTCAGTGTAGAACAGCTGAAGTTTTCTTTTGACATCGAATGTTCGAATGAATGCTCCTAAATATTCGAATATTCGAATAACTGTTTTTTTAAAAATCCTCGAATAAACGAATATTCGAATAACTCATTTTTCCAAATCATCGAATAAACGAATCATTCGAATACAGGCCTTTTTCATTCATTCGACTATTCGAATAATCGAATAATTGGACTTTCTCGAATATTCAACTATTCGAATATTCGAATAGTCGAATATTTCGAATAAAATATTCGAACACGAATATTCGGTTCTAACTATAGTACCCAGTACGTTTTATCGAGAGCAGAGCAGACCCAAATGGGGCGGCATAATGGAGACAGATAAGTAAATTACAATCCTTTCAGACATCCCGACAAAGGCGGGTTGTTCGAAACATTAGGTCAATAGAAGTTCTACCATACCAACCTGTGCGGCATAAAGAATAGAACATCAGCAGTCAGAGATGCCCAAGTTCCAAAACGAGAGCGCCCGATCTAACTTTTGCTCTCATGAGATAAGAGCTTACTTTGAACTGCCGCTCCCCCAAATCAAACCAAATTCCCAAAGGTGGTCTGCGCAAGTTGTGATATTATGCAAGAAGTTCTTTCAACTTCTAAGTGTGCAGATTGATAGAACATTATACAATAACCAGTTAGCCTCGTAAGAATTTAGGTTTTATCGTTGCCTCCTAAAATTTTCTGAATTTGGTGCAAAATGATTTTCTGATAATTGCTAGTGTTTAGAGAAGCACATCAAGGAGGAAAATAACTATTGCGCATTATATGCTATGATGCTACTCCTAACGCAAAAACTATCAAAATTTCAAGACATTTTTCTGCTTGAACTGGCTTCATCAGGATATGCGATTTTGTGCACCTGTATTGATGATTCATGTATCATCAACCTCAACAATTCTATAATCCTAATAGCTTACTGTTATTCCCGTAGGCTACATTCCCCAACCGCTTATATCTTGCAGGGACCGCGCCAAGCCGCGGCATCCTCTTTCATTTGGACTTTCCTTATGCAGCGTGATTGTGCATGGGTCAGCTCCGCCTTACTACCTAAGGGGCCCCCGACTGAACTATAGGTTGCTCCGCCCGGTTCAACACCGCGTTCGTCTCAATAAACAATTCTAACGACTCCGCTATCATCAGCGAGACATTGGTTTCCACCAAAACCTGTGTGGTACCAGAGAGATTTTTTTTCAAGTTGGTTACCTTTCTAAATAGCCCACATTTGGTTCCTTCCAAATGAACTATAGTATCCATTGCTTGGGTAAATGTTCTAATGTCCTCCTCTCCATTACTGCTTCTGAAAATAAAACTCTATAATCACAGAAAAGAGAGAAACTACTCCAGTTACCCCTTAAGGGCTTTGACTTTCTCCACGGCAGTGTCATAGGTTGTTCCGATTCGCTGATTGACGCTATCTCGAATTGTTGAATAAGCGTTCACATCCTGGAATTTCACAAAGTGGAGGATAGGAAAGGGTATAGAGAGTATGCAACGAAACGATAAGCATGTCTCAGTGTGCTGACTTATACACTCTGAAAAGCATTCGCATTCAGATGTTTACCAAAGTGGCTAATTGTAAGATCGCTGATTTCGCAATTGTACTGAATTGCGAGGTAGCGCCATTTTCTAAGGACGGTGAACACTTGATAAAAGGGTCAAAACCCAGCTTTGTAAAAGATTTTGTTAAGGGGGGGGGTGGAAGGTCTTCAGGGCGCTGATCGCGATTATGATAACAGTAGCGAAGGATAGAGAGCTATTAGGTGAGTCCAAAAAATTGTGCCTTACTAATCGCAAGACCTCTAAATTGATAAACCAGCACTCTATGTACCGTTTGATGCAGGATTTTTTTCTATCTTTCTGTAGCTATGCCTCCAAGATGATTCATTTGATACGCACTCAGATTGTCCACAATGTTTTCAATCCATCGTTTGACTTGTAGAGCCTTAGCTGATTTTCAAAATTCTTGTTTCATACCCCTAAATGAACTCTAGTAGGCCTGATGCTTTTTTCGCATCTCTCCAGCTTCTCGGAGTTTCTAATTTAATCAAGAAGCACAGGGGTTGGATGCTCAAGTCAAAACATTAGCACCCTTAGGCATTCATTGGATGCTGCAGCACCAGAGTACAGAATTTAATATTTTGGTATCACTTCTGTTACGGGAAGTGGAGGTCGTGACGCGTAAGACGCTAGAAGCATGTTGGATTCGTGTAATAATCCCTAGATCAACGGGAAAGATGAGTGTATTGCCAAAACTAATAAACTCGTGCCTTTCCTGGAATTATGCGGGTTTGACCTACACGCAACAACCCGGGAACCTAACTCACTAATGATGCATTAGTTCGTCAGGTGATCTGTGACCGACACTTGGCAAAGTCTCAGGTGAGCTGTTGATCCTAGGTATCGTTTTCATTTTTGGCAATCCCCAGAGTGTGATTTTCTAACACTTGTAAGACCTGCGACTAAAACTGATTTTTGAAAGTAAGTGAGCGATGCCCTAAAATTTCGAGATTCTGCGATTTGATAAGTATTGAAATTTTACTCAAAATTTCTCCTACATTGCAAAGAAGAAGAAGCAGTACGAAAGATGAGGGAGAAATACCTTAAGTGATACTTGAACTGTTCACTTGTTGATCTGCTACATACAGTTGTTTGATCAGACCGACCACTTCAAAAATATATTAGAACTTAAGCTGGAAAAATGCGAAAAAAAGTTGTGTTGCAAGAGTTTCGCTTTGTTTACCGGTCGTTTTTGTTTCTTCAAAATTATGAAACAAATATCTTGGAAATTCGCTAAATTTCGGCAAATTAAGACTATTTGCGAACTCGTGCGTTACTTAGCACGTGTCAGGAGAATTACTTGAACACCATAGCTATTAGAAAGATTAAGAAATTCTGCAACATTGGTAGCTAAGATGCTAGCTTATCTTTACTCTAAAAGTGTTTATTCCAGCTTCTTATGTATGCATTCGCTATAGTTGTTCATTCCGAAGTTTTGAAATTTCGAAGATAAGTTATCAAATCTCAAAACGGATTTGTTCCGAAGAATGTGCTCAACAATTTGAGATCTACTGATACAAAATGCTTCTTTGGACAAAACTTTCAGATAATCTTAAAATGAAAAATTATACCGCAAACTTAAATCGTCGTGTCGTCTAAAGATTTTGAGTAAAAAGCAATTGCAAACCTTTTGCCTATGAGCCACTTCGTTGGCACGATAGCATTATATCTTCAAGTAAGTCATACTCTCTCAGAGAAGAGGTTTGCAAAAACATTCTGGCAGTTTCAGGCCAAAATTTATAATACTTGCGATTGTAGAAGAGTAAACAAAAACTATATAGAATATAGACAGGGGTTGCTCCTTACAGTAGTCCTTTTCGCACTCGGAAAAAATGCTCGAAAGGAGCCACTTTGGTTTAAGTTGAATCATAGAAAACTTGCATCAGTTTTGAATCAACCCAGTGCGTGGTCCACATGAAAAGTGACGCAAGAAAAATTCATAACTTTGCAAGAATTGAATGAAAACAAAAACTTTTGGCTTCATTTGATAGATCGGAGGTTCCTTATAAGATTTTTTGATTTACTTTTGAGACATTCGCCTTTAGCTTCGATAGAAACATTTTGCTCTTATACCTCCTTCAAAAACAATGCAGATTGCGCGCAGTGGTTTTTTGTCCCAGGTCAGGGCCTGGCACGAGTCGGTTTTTAGGGTTTCTGAAAACGAAGTCTCCCCTGACTTTCGGAAGTTTTACGAAGTCCCCTTTGACCTACCTGCTTAGGAGAAGATAAAAACAAGAAAGATTCACTAGTCTGAAAGAAAAGACGAAGATGAGAGCGAAAATCCAAATTGGAGCTGAATACTACGCATGCACAAGACTTTGGCATTAGAGCGCGATATTTAACAAAGCGAGAAGAAATGAAGGCAAAAAACAAAGGAAAGGCGATGATATGAAGATGTCTTTATGCTCAGGGGTAGATTTTGGGCCGGAGAATCTGTCCATGCTAAAAAGATCCGAAACTTATGTGAAGTGACGAAAATATATGCTCCAGACCATCTCAGATCGTCTAGCGGCCGTCTAGAGACCATCTAACTTTGGAAAATGTATTACTTCACATAAGCTTTCAAATCTTTTTACATAATTGCAAATAATTTTCTACAAATACAGTTAAATTTTGGTGTCATATGCTTCTATGTGCGCTGTAAACAAGCAATTTTTTCATTTTAGCCTTGCTTTCAAATCGCGCGCACTTTTCGCCATACACGATAGAGCATGTCAATCGTGTGATAACCTGTCCGTAAAGCTTGTGTTTGACTAAATGGCGCTTATTCTTGGTGTTCGGCCCCGACTCCGCAAAAAAATATCTCCTTTGCTGTTTTGTTCGAAAACGAAGTTCAGCCTGCTTCCAGACGATCTGTGCCGGGCCCTGTCCCAGGTTGATACCATTCTGAAGAGACATACGTTCGGAAATAACCTTTCGCCTTGCAGACCTTTTACTCTCAGGTAGACCAGAGAATTTGTCATGGTTGGGCGAGTTGAAAGGCTAAACATTATATTATCTATCATTGTCCAAAAGCTGAGTTTCACACCATTGCAGTATTTTTTTCGCTGTGAGCCGGGCTTGGTTCTGCTTGAAAAATTTCAAGACAAAATCCGCAGCATTTGCTCTTTGACCCAAGAAGACCTTCAAAGTTTACTCCCGATGCTTTTTCAAAATCCCGAAAAAACTGCGATTTTCGGATCATAACAATTGCAGTTGATAAAACTTTATGCTAGATGCTAGATTATAACTAACATCAGAAAATGTAAACGATCAAAATGGGAAAGAAGAATGTGGAGAAGACGTTCATTATTGAAATATGGCATGTAATAGACTTGAAATGCTTTTTCGCAGCATGTCAAACTCCATGTGGACCGCCTTTGAGCAAATAATGTTTGGCCTTCTAACTCGCCCGGTAATGCCAAGATTCTCTTTTTAGTCTATGTGGGAGTGAAAAAATGCTTATCCGAAATCATGTCGTATGATTTGCTCAAAGGAGACCTGATGAGAGCCTCGATCGAAATTTCTCCAAAAACCATTGCGCGCATCGTGAAATAGAACGTTTTACGATGCGCGCAATGGTTTTGGCGTTTTTAATTTTTCTCACCAAAGCCGAGGCGGATGTCTTACAGTTAGCTTATCTATAACTTCGTGTACAGATTCTTCTTGTCTGTCAGATAAAACGAACACTTTTGATTTCATGCAGTTATAAGGAGGTTATGGAAATTTGTGCGTTACGATTCGTGTGGACCACCATGTATTTCGTGTCATGTGATGCGCAACCTACCAAATCCAAATTGGACTCAAATATTGCACTAGAATGAAAATTATGAAATGCCAGCAGCAACAAGCAAATGAAAGTTAAAAAACTTTATTACCTCAGCACAGGGGCGAATCCACTTGTCTACGCCGCGACCTACACATGGATATACGGTCGTGACATAGTCGATATCGTTGCATTCTTTCTCGAACATCATCCTTATCATGAATTTTACATTCTTTAGTACCGAGTGGATAGCAGAACGTTGATAAGTGGGGCAACATTACCTACTTATGGTTTCCTATCGTTTTCAAGTTGTCGATTCGTTTTCGTGTGATCTCTGCGCCTTCGAATTCAGCGCCACACGTCAGTTGTTTTTCATGCTTTGCACATGCCTGAAGGAATCAACTAATAGAGTTCTATGGCTTTAAAGCACGAGGATGCTTACGGCTTTAGCTATCCGGCTCATATGATGCTCGGGTAACGTCATGAATAGAGATGTAAACATCTTCATACCAGCTTTCTCCAACCATACTGCATTTTCCACATTTCCATGCCTAAAGAGGTGTTTTTTCATTTTCCAATTTTTCCACCAACTTTCTGCGGCTGTGTCTTAGAAAATCATACTGCAGAGCCTCGTTTTGGATATGATCTGTCCAGTTCCGATCGATGTTATTGCACTGCTCGAGGCCATCCAGATAGAGAGAGTTCCTAAGTAAAATTGCGTGACCAGAAATCTTTACTGACGGAATACTTTCGCTGGTTTGTGATCAACATCAATGCAAGACAGTAAACTGGCATCAAAGTTCGAGCCTGCCATATTTATAGTTAGAAAACAAGAGGAAAATCACAAATAAGGAGGAGAACGAAGAATGCAAATGATTGATGAGATATCACGTCTTTCAAAGCTTGAAGTGATCACGGCTCGGTAGCAAAATATTCAGAGTGTCCCAAAAAAATGTGCACACTGTTTGATCGCTAATTACTCTCTTGCTTTCACGTATTTTACCGAGCGTGATGTGCGATTCTGCAGAGCGAGGTTCAACTTAGACTTACGGTATGGAGCGAATCACCAATCGCTCTTCAATACTGTAGGGTTACGGTATGAACTTTCAGGATACAGCGTCACTGTAGAATAGGCCTGTTGATGAATAAATTTCAGAAAACTTTGAAAATTTGTGTAGCAAAGTTTTCAGGCGCGCTGACTTCACTACATGACTTTTCACCAGTTTTTCGGGCTTTCTTGATGGCGTATTCACATTTCTGACGAACACTGGAAAAACAATTGTTACCCTAAATCTGAAGTAACTTATGAAAGAAGCACTATACTGAAGAGCTAATTCCATATTCAGAATCAGCGACTTCGACTAACCCAATTCAAGAGTTTCTGGCTTGTTTGACTTTTTTTTAGGCAGAATATCGCTTCCAATGGCATAAAATCCTCTTCGAAGTTCCTACCGTAATCACACAGTAATGAAAAGCGACTAGTATTCGCTCCATACAGTAAATTTGAGTTAAACCACGCCTTGAAGAATGGTACCTCAAGCTCGGCAACAGACATGAAAGCAAGAGAGTTATTAGGGATCAAACAGTGTGAACATCTTTTTGGGACACGCTCTATATCAGGTTAGAATACTCGTGCATTCTTTCGACCAATCATAAAATGCGCAGGAATCAAGATAGGTGCTTCAAAAAAAATTCAGCTTAGCTTTCTTTCCTCTTTTCAAACTTCCGCTCTTACAGACAGTTGATTCTGCGGTCACTAAAAACATCGCGGGAACTTCGAACCTATGGATTTTGAAATGTCCATCTTCGACAATCGAAATGTCTATATCAGATCTCGGAAAGAGTTTGAAGAAGTTAGAGGGTAAACAAAGTGCAACAAAATGAATTCATTTGGGATCTCCAACTGGCTTCTGAAATAGAATCTTTCAAATTTTTTGATGCTATTAGACGTTGTATTCGGTCTACCTCCTAGCACATCGACCGGCGAGCAATTTGGGTGTCATTTGGTGCAGCTTTTTCTTATCTTCTTTATCCCTATACGATTCATAAAGGCATCGCCAACTGGATTACAATAATTGCTGATTTAGAAGGCCCCACTTCTAACGTGACAGCTTTAGTGATTTTTTTCCTGGCCTTCTGGTAGCACCAGGAAAAGTTGCGGTAGGTGACAAGTTTCTTCGTAGTATCTATTAGGATATTCCAAAAAGTCGTCCGATGATAGCCTATGTGTGCAATTTATAGCAAATCATTATATAAGTGTTCAAATGACAATATGTGTCGCGGCTCGCGATCGGCCGCTCCTCACAGCATGTGGCCGGGAGCACCGTGTTGCCGCGCAGTTCGGTCATGAGCACGGCCACCGCGCTTTACCGCGGCTACCTTGTTCGCTTCCAGACCACCACGTAGGCACGTCCCCAACCACCGATATAAATAGCACGCGCCAGTGCGGCCTCTTTCGTCTTATCATCTTACTAATATCGTCGTGCCGCTTTCATTATTGATTGGTTGGCTTTTCACGATATCGCCGTCGTGTCTACGTCCCCGTGCCTCGCGCGATTGTATGGATCGTCGATGGATTGTTTGGATGAACGCGCGAGGATAGAATTCTAGGATAAGGAACATCACAAAGCGCCTTGGTCGCGCAGGACTCGTTAGGAGCTTGGTTCGACGTAGCTGGTTAACATTAACATCATGGGGTCGGTGTTGCCGTGCCGTCGCTGCTGCCTTGGCGGCTAGCGCGGCCGGCATGTGGGTAGCTCCTTGGAAGCCGGGAGAGAGTGAGAGTGTGTTAGTGTGTGAGCGTGAGTAGGATAGAGTCATAGAGTCCTCATAGGTAGCCCCGGGTAGGGCTCAACCCTCCCCGTGGCAAGTATATTAATATTTATCTTAAGTCGTGTATTTTTCGTATATTTATGTGTCTCGTGGGTAGAGTAGGCATTGAGGGCCGGGCATACTTCACGCGATTTCAGTCGCAACGCGATTTGACAGTATTCCAACTGTCCATAACTCACTATAAGGGGTTTCAATGTAAGGAGGATAGGGTATTTTATCAGACCACGTAAGTTATACACACTATACATGTGCAGTTTGCTAATGTTGGATCTAAAGACTTCTGGCAAGCTGCCAAATCGCGTCGCGACTGAAATCGCTTGAAGTATGCCCGGCCCTTGACGCGCCAGTGAGTTGGCGCGCACCCGCAGTGGCGGAAGTCGTTTGGGGACAGGAGCTGAGGCGCAAGGCAGCCGAGCGCTAGGCGAAGGGGCGCAGAGCCCACCGAGCCGCAACAATATGTTTGATCTTCGCAGCTCAGTCTTCTGAAGTGATGTACACTCATTCGGTTCGTCAAATCATATTTCATCATCCATCTCTTAGAAATTCTAATGATTTTTCGTTGTTTGATGCGTCCATGTATGACAGAACTTCGAAAAATTGAAGACTTCCGGCAAATTATCATAGAAATAAAAAAGCCAGTTGGAGACTCTCAAAAAAACTACTGTGGTGCATTTTGTGTACTCTATACGTATGTTATCGAAACTCCTCCAAAGAGAAAAGTTTGGTAAGAGTTATAGAGAATTTCGTCTTGTGGTCGTAGAATAATCGAGCGATTCTAGTGACCGCTTAGAAAACGAACGCTAGAAAAAGGAAGAAAAGCTTGTCGCAAATTTTTTGGATAGGTGTCTCCTGTTCCGTGTTTTGAATTGAAAAACAGCAAACAGTCTCAAAACAACTTAATATTTTTCTCGAGACAGAAAATCACCTCAAGCCTTCATAAGATTCAGAAATAAACGACTGCTCATCAGCAACAGCACTAGTCTAAAAGTTTGTCAAAATTCTACAAGTATTAGGGTTGTTACTTAAGTCTTGCACTCGGGAATATAAAAAAATCGTTTTGGAAATGTTTAGATAATTCTTTTCGAAGCGAACCATTTTTTTTGAGGCATATGGATGTATGCTATCATGAATATTAGAGCCTTATTTTTATTCAAAAGCAAAAAGTTGAAATTGTAAAAGTTGTAAAAATTCCGGAAATTATAACTATTCGTGAAATATCCGATCAGCGCGAATTTCCGTCGTATGGAAAGAGCATGTCATGAAACCAAAAGCAAAAGTTGAATGGGAATTAAGCAGACGTTTCAGTAACTTTAGCGAGCAAAAAAAAAACACTTTTTGGGTGCTTTTCTTCATTAGCCTCATCATTGATACGCAAGATTCTTGTTTAGGTGATATATCCTCTTTTGACAGTGATTTGAAATAAAAATGGACAAGTAAATCTCCAGTGGGGCAGTAGCCACAGCACTGAATCTTGGGAAGTTTTCTTGGATGGATGCAGCTGTGTATATTATTTCTGAATTTTATGTCAAAACTTGATCTTTTAAAAAACCAAAATTAATATTACGTTGAACCCACTATTCTGTTCCCACTTCTAAAAACTGGTATATTTTCCTGCCAGGATAATGTTGCGTGGTTATAATTTTGTCGGGAAGAGTAGATTTTATACTTTCAACGGCGTCTTGGCTGCGCTTCAATAGGCTTCGATAGAGATATAAGAGAGGGGAGATCACCTGAAGCGCGTTGAATTCAAGCAGGCCCGAAAATATAAACTCTGCACTAAAATCAGTAAGTAGCATAAGTATTCTAACTCTTTCTAACTGAAAAGCTTGTGCTGGTCGATCTCTATAGAAAGTTATGAATCTTGAAAAGACAAAGAAAGGGAAAATCAATTTTTTTGCATCTTCGTCAAAACTTAAACTTCCCAAATCTTGGTCAGTACAAACTTTGCTACTTAGAAAGAGTAGGTCAAAGAATTCAAGCTATTGACTGTTTGGAATTTTATCGCACTGTTTTTATACGTTTTTCGCTCCTGCCGATAATTACCAAAAACCAAACCACGAACGATTTCCTTTTCCATATACATCTCTGCACTCGGAGCTTATCAGAGATTAATTAAGGTGTCCTCAAAATATCTGAGCCTTTCAATGAAATAACTATCAGGCAAAATCACGAAACCGATATTGGAAATGGTGAGGCAGAACTTTCGGTTTAACCTAATACATATAAATAAGTTCCGTGCTAACATTGACAATTTTGGAACTTTTTTGGGAGAATAGCGATAGCGTAACTTCTTCATAATCGTTTCGAGATAAAAAAAGGATAGAAATGGGGAATTTATGGGGATATACTTAGAGGAACTTGAAAAACGTATGAATTGGAAAGAAGTCAAAGCCGTTTATATGGAGAGAAATTTCGTGTAAATGTTTGATATCTTATCTGAATATTAGCGAAGTTCTTATACATGTAGCAGAAATTTTAGTTCCATGATGAGAGCAACATTTTTTTGAGCTACTTATTCTATAATAATTCCGTTGTCATCAAACGCTACATCTTCGGTTACATTGAAGAAAAGTTGAAACCATAAAAGTTGAGAATACTTCGCAGGTGCTATTTGTAAAATTTATTTAAAGGAGAAATGATTCGCCTAACCGGTCACTAATGTACATTGATGATTAGTTCCGCTCAGTAACCTGCTTGTTAAGACGTGTGCTACGTAACTTCAGTTACCAGAATAGTTCTATCCATACAAGGTCATGACATCAATCAGCTGTTCATGACACACTCTTTACGACACATGGAGAGAGCGTAACAAAACTTGAAAATGCGTCGCGAGAATGTGAGATCGACTAACAACCATTGCTATCATTGATTTGTTTGCGAATGGCTCATAAAATGGGAAACCGTGCTAAAAAAAGGTAGAATTAAAGAGTGTAGAAGCGCGGTTTTCTACTTTCATATAGGTAGCAAAAGGAAAAGAAAAAATGAAAGTAAAAAAGGATGTGAAGGACGTGTCCCAAATGAAAGTCGAAAAACCGAATCTGTGTACGAAAAGCACTTGGTATAGCAAGTTGTAGAAAAACAGGAAGTGAAAGAGAAATTTGAACAAAGAAAAGAAGATTAGGAGAAAGTTTTAAAGAGAATTATGTAGAGAAACAGACCAACCGCGAGGAGAAAAAGATATGTAGAAAAGGGGGAAGAAGTAGATGGTGAAATGTAAAAGCAAAAAGAACAAGGGAAAATGTTGTGGCAGAAAACTTCGGACTGGAGTAGGAAATCCTAAAAATAAAGTAAAGAGAAAAGAAATGAGATAAGTAATCTCAAAAATGATATTGAATAAAGTAAAAAGGAAGAAATATCAACAAAAATGACCCGATATGAGTCCAGAAAGTTAATATGAATGGGATAAGGAGGGTTTAGGAAAGGAAAATGTGAAAGAATGTGAGATTAGAAAGATAAGAAAAAAAATCATAAAGGGAAAAGGGATGAAGACAAAGAGAAGGAATAAAAGAGAGAACAAGAAAAAAGAAAGCAATGGAAGATGATATATGAGCGCCAAAAAGAGGAAGCTTTATAGCAGAACAAATCATTAGTAAACCAACAGTCGCAAAAAATTACCTTTTTAGATGGTCCGGTTGCCCAACGATATTATTCAAGTAGTCGACTTTAGCTGAAAACTGCAAAATTACACCAAAGCACGATAAGCTGAGAGTTCCTTGCACTCTGAGGGGAAATGGATATAAATCGAGTAGGTGTGGCGATAGGATGGGAGGGATTAGCGGCCCCACTCTGCATCATGGTTCGATCATCATCCGCCACCCAGATGCATCCCCTGGGTAGCCTAAGCAACACGCTCCAACTGTCGCTTCTTTCTATTCTTGGTTTTTTTTTATCCTTCCGCGGGATTTACTTTTGGATTTGTTGTTGAAAAATAGTTTGACAGCTTTTAGGTCCAACCCGATGCCCAAAAATCCGAGTTAATGCAGCAAGGACCACTTTCAACAAATGTAACCACTAAACCCTGCGTTCCTCACCTTTCCGGCCTATGTCGCGAGCTTCGTCGAGTTCTTGTGCGGGGATTCCGGAGAAAATCCAGCTGCTGCCGGTAGGTCGTAAGCACAGAAGCAAGGAGACAACGAAGTTGCGCATCGCCAGACTACCGACCCTGGTCGGCCCACCTCCGGACGGCGATTTACGTTTGGTGGCGGCCACGCCCACGACGGAATCGTCGTCGGTGTCGACGATCAGTGGCGATCGCAGTGGCATGTCATCGCGCGATGCCACCGCTATCAAATCGCGTACGACCGCGATCGAATCGCGTACGTCCAGAGGTGGCGCACAACTGCTACACCGCGAGAGAACAACTCCAAAGGTACGGTTTTTAATAGCCATAATTTTTCAGCACTCAAGCCTGCTTAACTTATTTGTTTTTTTTCCCTCAAGAACCTCATGATTGAGAAATTACATCAAATTGCAGCTATTGATTGCAGTCTATTGTTTTTTTGGACAGACTCAAAAAAAATTTTTTTTACGTCTCGTTTCTTCTTTTGATTACGATATTATCGTTACTATAATTTTGAATCTCCCGAGATCGCCACCTTACTTTTCCTAGAATGTGGGCTTCCAGTTAATATTGTGTTGAAAAAAAAAAGAAGACGAAGTTGTTATTTTGCTGGTTGCTTATGGAGGTCATAGCAGATGTTTCGAAAAAAATAAGAGAGATTCGTTTCGAAAATGTAATGAAATTCTCGGAATTATATACTTTTGTAAATCATAACAAGTTTTATTTTGTCATAGATACAAACGATTTTTTTCTTCTAACAAAATCTATCAACCGAAACCTAAACATCATTATTTATCAAAAAAGCGCGAGTTTTTGTCAAAAAGAGTGGTGTAAAACCATGACAAACGTTATTAGTGTCTCTTTACTTTATTTTTATCTTTTTACATATGCTCCCAACAAATATGACACCTCTGCTCACCTTTTCTTTTATAGCTGAAGCCTCATCATGTTGATCTGCATCTTCGTAAAGAGATGAAGTTCACAGACCAACACAGCGTAATTGACAATCAAAGCCAGAGTTGGATAATTAGCTTAGAATTAGCATCTATCTCTAAGGACTGATAATGAGAAATGATTTATTATGCTAAACAAATTTATTGTCACTCATTTTTCACTATAACCTGTTACAACAAACCAACGGATCTATGGAGCAGACATTTTTATAGATCATTTTTGCATGTAATATTGTCTCGATTATTGAGCAGGTGCTTTGTCCTATAAGAAGCGAAGTTGCTGAGAGAACTTCGTTAGCTTGAGATATCAGCAAGTTCTTTAGGGCTACGTATAAGCTTCTACATCAATTCACAGGAATTTCCATCGTTATAACTTTGTCATCAGTCATCATCCTCCTTATTTTGCTCATTTTTTTGAAAGCTTTTTTTGAATCGTCAGTTTCAATCACGTCATTTCGGTAGAGATTTTGAATTTGAAGTCAGAAAAAAAGTCGAGAGATAGAAAATAGTTCTATGTTACTAGAATGCGAAGATCTATGATAAGGCGTAAAAACTAAAATCAATTTTTCAACATCAATTCACTTGAAAACGTCTTATTTGATACAGACTATGAGCAGGATATAATAAAACCCAGCAACAGTCTCAAAATTTATTACACGAGAGAAAAAATAGTTCCAGCAAAAGTTTTCATGCATGATCAATGCTAATTTTAGGGAGCCTAGGTTTCTCCTGTATTTATGATTTGCTCATCAATTATTCTTAAAATTTTACTTATAGGTCCTCGCAAAAGAAAGCGATGAAGTTAGTATACGCTCTGTCAAAGACGCTATAAAGAGATATGAGCAACTACCTCAGGTATCCTCTCGCACTTCCGAGCTTTCTAAAATTATGATGATTTTTTTTCTAGATGATACCAAACGCCCGGGAAAAGCCCGTAAGGGTGGGCAAAGTCGAGTTCGGTGGCTATCGTTTACCTCAACCTCATGAACTTCCACCGCTCCAAAATCACCAGAATCACTCCATCGATAAGGGACTAAGGAAAGTGAGATTGACGCCAGTACAGCTGCGGTCAATGAATTTTGCAGAAATGGAAAATGGAAAAACCGGTCAGTTTTTTGCCTTTCAACCCAAAAATGCCAAATTTCGGAGGGTATCTATAATATTAGGTTGTAACAGAATTAATGCAGGTTTTGAATTCCAACTGCTATAAGTCATACACTTCTCATTTCTAACTAGGTTGCAAAGTGCCCTTCGATAGAGCAAAGCAAGCTCTACAAGAAGGCCATCTTGCTTTAGCAACAACTCTGATCTACCACGAGTTTCGAGCCAAAAACTAAAAAGATTTAGCTGTCCGAAAAATTGAGAAAAATCGTAACTCAGTTTCTAAAAAACCTACAAAAATTCTAACTTGCTCATGTAAATACTATTCACATAAGACATCTATATACGCCTTTGCCTTATTTTTTTCTCTGTTAGAAATCAAGTAAACGGAAATTTTCGTGCATTTGCCAAAGTGTTGCGGTGCCCTTTCCACATAAGTAGTTGTATACTACAAATCTGTAAAAGTACAAACGTAAATTTTCAGCTCTCTACAAGCTTTAGTTCTCGAGAAATTTGAATTTTAGCTTGGCCATCTGACTAGGGAAAACTATATTCGATATAACTCGAGAACTAAAGCTTGTAGAGAGCTGAAAATCTGCGTTAGTACTTCTATAGGTCTGTAGTATACAACTACCTATGTGGAAAGGGCACAGCATCACTTTGGCAAATGTACGAAAATCTCCGTTTTCCTGATTTCTAACAGAGAAAAAAATACGGCAAAGGCATATATAGATGTCTTATGTGAATAGTGTTTACGTGAGCAAGTTAGAATTTTTGTAGGTTTTTTATGAACTGAGTTACGATTTTTCTCAATTTTTTGGACAGTTGAATCTTTTTAGTTTTTGGCTCGAAACTCGTGGTGGATCAGAGTTGTTGCTAAAGCAAGATTGCCACCTTGTAGAGATTGCTTTGCTCTATCGAATGGTGTTTTGCAACCTACTTAGGAATGAGAAGTGTATGATTTATTGCGGTTGGAATTCAAAACCTGCATTAATTTTGTTACAACCTAATAAAACTTTGGTTTGCAGATAATTTTTTGTTATGTCTTTGCTTTCAGGAAGTTTTCAGCTTTGACGCTTAGACGAGCAGAGAAAAACAAGCTTAGCATGCTACGCTATAATTCATAAGAAGATAAGCGCCTTGCTCACGCGAAATCCTCTATAACCCTACTTTGTTCTCATGTTTACATAGAAGCATATCCTTAATTCTGGAAGCAGCAGAAGCTAGGAAAAATTGGAACAAGGAAAACTCAACTCAAGTGTTTTGCGTTTTTTGTTCAAATCGTAGCTAGAATCATATCTCTGGAAAGCAACAGAACTTTTGAAAAAGGATATTGATTGTTTACTGGTAAGCAAACTGTTTAAGGTCGTCCATAACTTTGCTTTTATCTTGTTACTTTGAAGTTTTGTTGACCAAAAGTTTCAAAATCTTGTAAAAAAACATATATTAAACTCTAGCTGATGAGTTACACTCATAAGGGAAAGATACCAACATAAATAGAAGAATGAAGACGAGATGTATATCACTAGACGAGTCTTCAAAGTCTGACTTCAAATCTGCTTTCCTTTTTTGCGAAACTACTTTGTAAAAGAAGGTATAAGCGTCTAAATGTCCAAATTTGTCAAGCTTTTAGTGGCATAAAATTAGCGACATGTACAAAAACCTGAAAATGGGTAATCAATTTTGCATCAAGTATGTTGACTATAAGGAAGGAACACAGCCAAGAGAAATTCACTTAGGTGCTTTTATAGAAATTTTAGCTAACTTTATTCCACTTGATTGAAAATTTGGACGTTTAAACGCCCATACCTTCTTTCGGAAAGTTGTTCCGCAAAAAAGGAAAGCGGAAAAAGTTAGCGTTTGAAGACGCGTGTAGTGATATACATCTCGTCAATCTCCAGCTGATGTTGATATCCTTCCCTTGTTAGAAAAAAAGTTGTAAAAAAGTGTTTGAATGGAGAAAACAACAGAAAGCATCTTGTAGCCAATTCAAAAAAGTTTTTCCGCGTTAAGGGCAGGGCATACTTCACGAGATTTCAGTCGCGACGCGATTTGGCAATATTCCAACTGTTTATGACCCACTGTAAGGACATTTGAAATGTACAGAAAGATATGGCATTTTATCAATCCACGTAAATTACACACGTATGCGTGAGCAGTTTGCTAGTATTGGATCTGAAGATTTCTGGCGAATTGCCAAATCGCGTCGCGACTGAAATCGCATGAAGTAAGCCTGGCCCTTTAGCCTGTATGGAGTTATACTTTTAAAATCTAAATTTCAGATCGGTAATTTGCATTTCTCTTTGGTGATGTCAATATTTTGAAGTACAAATTCTTAGTTGGTTAAGGAATTCATGCACTTCAACTGCATTAAGAAGAAAAGTGCCATCGAACTCGAGTGCTTTGACAAATTTGTCCGCAACCCGCATTAGTTCAGCTCATTCGCAGTCATAATTCATCTGCTTGCGTGCATCGAGGTCTCGCAGGTGCCAACGCACTAAATAAAATCCATGTCCCATTAACATAGTGCAAAATCAAGCCATATTACTCAACAACTTGTTGCTTTCCTTGCAGATGAGAAATCCACCATCGTCGTTCCCCGCCTAGCTCTCCGTGGGCCAACACCTGATCCGGACCTCATCCAACTGGTGCCGACACCGCCTCCATCAGATAGGGAGGAACGAATTGTAACTGAAGAAGTTGGAACACAGACGGATGATGTGAGTTTCAGAAATTTGATAGGAAAGCCTCCCCTAGTTGCCAACATCATCTGCTAATTTTGCCTGCAAAAAATAGCGGTTTGTTAGCGAAATCCCCTTTATTATATCCTTGCACAAAATATCACCATGAGATGATTGTTAGCAAACAGACTTGAATAAACCGATCTGATTAGGAAAACTCAAAACGAGAGTAGCAATCGGGAAATTAAGAAAATGAGTCGACCATCCTGCTGGGGTTTCCGTAGGCTTTTTCTGAAGTAAAAGAAGATTACCAGTGATGCTTTATATACACAATACTGGAATCCTAGTGTTTTCGAAGATTGGGGTACGCATCCTGAAAAAGAAAATTTTGGCTGTACCCTGTCACGGGGCGGACGAACGGGAAGTGCATGAAATACCCCTCCCTACCCCGATAGCGGGCAACAAAATTTTGAGAACTGTGCCTCCATTAACTGCAAAATTGTGCAAGCGACTTGTTTTTATCTTATATATAAAGCTGAATGTCTGTTTGTCTGTCTGTCTGTATGTCTGTATGTCTGTATGTGTGTACGTATGTTCCGAATAGAAAATTCCATCTCTGAACCGATCCGGACCAAACTTGGCACACATACACTTCGGCGGGTGTCAAAGGCTACTTTTCGTCATCGATCGATGTAGATTTTATCGATTTTTTGCAAAATTTGAGCTACGGGGCTGGGAGTTGGTACAGGGGGGTAATCGAGCATGCTGATTACGAATAAAATAATGACAGGGCCGGGCGGAGCCGGGCAAGCCATCAGTGCGTAAATAATTAGACTAGTCAAACATTTACTTAAAGTCTCATTAGTAGTAGGTTTTTTTAAGAAAAGTTAGGGCACTTCCTTATGATTGAGGCCATAGCCTTCAAAGTTTTGAAATTCACAGTTCTTTCAATCATTGACCAAAGCACAGCTCCTCATCCGAAAAAATCTCTATTTTTTTCCCTTAATTCATCGAATCCCCACTGCCTGGCACCAGAACAATATCGCCTTTGTTTTCCCTCCGAAATTAATTCGACCACAATTGTCTTCTTATTCTATATCCCGGCACTGTTTTCCAGCCACATTGCATTTTCACTCCAAGCCTAAATTCTCGCACTGTTTTAGATTTTTAGACTGAAGGCAGAATATGAAACAAAACAATGAGTTCATGTCGAGAGATCTCTTTTTAGAAATGAAACAAACTGTGAAAGTGACAAAACTCAAAATACCCAATTCCAATGATGTTTTGCCCATGCTCTATCAATGTTTTCGGTTTACGATAGCAGATTAGCCTAGTAGAGTTTTGCCTTCAATGTACTCCAGCTGCAAAACTGGCACATTCGTCGCAGCTTATTGACAAGAAGTCTTGATTTCGCAAAACTCGTTTTTTTTGGAAGGCACTATGTATAGCGCACTTTACGCTGTTAATTGTTCAAACTATTGAAACTTGATCTCATGTCTTCCTCTTTTGATACTGTGATAATTAGTCTACGCTATGATTATCTACCTGCCTGGTTGTGCAATCCAAGCGCAGCAGCAAATCGAGGCATCAGCGGAAATGCGCATATCCCATTTCCTTCAGCCACTATAATAACCTAATGTAGCGCGATAATTTACTAAAACCACCGTAAGAAGCACATTCAAATGGCAGTTTTGACTTCAGAATTTCGATACGGACAATGACCAAATCATCGAGGTACTAGCCAACTCTGCTATTAGGACAGCTTCTGCGGAACTTGAAGTCGAACTTTTACGGAAGGAACTTTCTGAGGAACGGCGGATGCAGGAGGAACGCGATTTGAGCAGATCATTAGCGATTGAAACATGCAATGAGGTAAGTCATTTAAACTAACAAGGGAAGCTGCCTAACTTAGCTCGGCCTTTTGGCGGGACATATATATAGTCGGAATCAGCTTTGAACGCTGATTCAAAATATGCTATTTATAGCTGCCACGCACCATCCGAAGCGAGTTATGGGCTTTTTCCTGCGCAAAATTGGCATACACATCGATTTACGGGCATCACGTCATCATCATTAAAGGCAGCGTTCAGGCAGATCTGGACCCATGAGGATTTTACGTGGATAGTAATTTTGGAGCCCTAACTAAGCCACTGCCCAACCGGCAGCTCATGTAGTGCTCTAACGGCTGAGATATTCCCCTCGAAACTGGACCCCGCAATCGTATTTCGCATGGATTTATGGCGCAAAGCGTGGATCCTGGTGTGGAACTGCCATGAATCCATGCGAATACGATCGCGAGGTCCAGTTTCGAGGGGGATATCTCAGTCGTTAGAGCACTACCTGCGTTGCCGCTTGGGCAGTGCCTTAGTTAGGGCCCCAAAAGTACTTTCCACGTAAATTCCCCATAAGTCCAGATCTGCCTGACGCTGCCTTTAAGTGCTGATACACCTGCGTTAAGATCTTTTTTGATAAGAAAAGAATGATTTGTACTATTTCGATACCTCAGCACCCTTTTCTTGCAGATTTTCAATAGTATGCCAAATTTGCGTAGGAAAAAGCCCATAACTCGCTTCGGAATAGTGCGTGGCAGCTAAAAATAGCATATTTGGAATCAGCGTTTGAAGCTGATTCAGAATATATGTCTTTCACCAAAAGGCCGAACTAAGGTAGCTTCCCTTATAAGAATTGATTAATCCATTTGATACAATTTAGGTGATGCTATCGTCAATCGAACACTTAAATGAGTTGCAAGCTCCTCCAGACACAAAAAGTGTAGGAGTGGATACGAAGGCATTTACCAGACGGTTGAGGAACTTGGATCTTCTCACAGTTGGTAAGCATTAATTCACTACCAATCTAGTAATCATATCAAATTTAAGCCCGACAGATGCATACATAGCATCAAAAATCTTAAATCTTTCCTTCAATTCCATTATTGTTGTCCTGACATAGCAAGAAGTCAAAATAAACGTAAGAATGTGTTTTTAAAGGCATGGCTCGGGAAAATTGCGAGTGCTAGCTTTCCACACCTACATGGGCTTCTGGATCCGCTGAGTCCGAGAGTGGCTCGAAAAGTCAAAAAATGCTTTTTCGGCGTTTTCCGGCCTTGGAGATTGCTGAGGGGGCTGGGCGAGGGTCTCCCCCCAAAAGCAGCGATTGGCTGAGGATACTGAATTCCCACCCATTTGGCGGCAAATCGCTGATCGGCTCAGGCAGCCAATCGAGACTCGGGTGGCGACCCCTCGCCCATCCCCTTTAGCAATGTCTAACAAGGAAACGATACTTGGTGTCCGTGGCCTTTTGAGATGGGACATACACCATCACACTCATCTTGGAGCGTTAATTCCGAATCTGACCTCCGTTTCTGCTAATCGTTTCTCTGAAAGAAGTCATGAAGGGTTTTGTGTCAAAGGAGACGTGTCTGGAATGCCAAAAGCGTCGCTAAGATATGGTGTAGTGACTAATGCGATAGCTTCGCAAGTTAATGTAGGCTTAGGTTCGAGTCCTTTTGTATTCTTCAGTTTTGTATTGCCTCAATCAAGCTTCTTTTTGAAAGTTAGACATCCTCGGCAGCATTTCTCTTAGGCAACCATTGACGCGAAAATCCTTCATAACTTCTTTCAGAGAAATGATTTGCAGAAAAGGAAGTCAGATTTGGAATCAGCGTTCTAAAACGAGTGTGATGGTATACGTTTCATCTCAAAAGGCCACGACACCAAGTATCGTTCCCTTGTAAGGCTGGAAAACGCCATGAATAGCGCTTTTTCGATTTTTTAAGCACAGCTCTGGATCCAGAGCATCCAGAAGGCCATGTAGGTGCGAAAAGCTCGCACTCGCAAATTCCCCGAGCCACTGCCTTTAACGCAGATCGAAAAGGTTTTTGATTTGTGTGAATGGTCAATCAATATCTGGACTATTCATTCCTTATAACTACTGAGCTTCAAGAACGTAACTTGCACGCTTTCTCTGCCTATAACTCTCGCCCGTTCTGGAAGGTGGGAAGGAAGGTCATAAAAGGAACTTTGAAGCGAAAGAATTCTAAATCGGAATTCTGGATAGGGGACCATAAGCCGCCGATAGGCTCCAACCTGCGCAGACAGCCAGTGCAAATCCGTTATGTCTGTAGTGTGTGAAGCTGCGTATTTTGTCGCAGATGTCGCGTACCACCCACTTTCTGCGAAATATAGCCCTCCACCCCAAAATTCTAAAACATTTTTTCAGCACACCTAGAGCCGCTTTGTATGATTTAGTCAAACTTGCAAAACTTAATAATTTCTTGAACGATAACACGAAGACAGATTCTAAGTAACTTAATAATGAATACGTTCATACCTTTGCGGGCAGCAAATTCATTTTTATTCAGAATGAATCAGACGATTACGGTTATTTAATCACTTTTTACATAAACCACAGTAAAACATACTACAAGTACAGATTAGGTCATGCTAAAAAGACCATGCAAAGGCGATTGATGAAAACTGGCTTCAAGAGTAGATTTCACCCTCCATTCCAGATACTTCATTATGCTGCATCATCAAAGAAATTTTCTTTCAGAGCTCGAGCAAGACTTCTTCCCATGGCTATTCGCAAAAGCAGATCGAATGTTCAGCCGAAAGATGACGTCGAGACTACTCGATGAGGACGCGATAGATTCTGATGATCGGATAGGCTCATTCGGCCGTCAAGTGTCCAACTGCCTAGTGCTAATCAGAAGAGACAACATTGCACGCAGCGAGAAATTGTCTACGCTTTGAATTCAAGAAGAGAATTGAATTGCATGTACTTGCCTTTTAGAGCTTTCGTTCTGATCTCAACTCTAGCTCACATGTATTGTAGGTTTAGTTTTGTACATATGTATAACAGTAGTAGAGTTTAACTATATGGCTTTAGCATTTTAGTACAGATCATGATTCGATGGAATACGTTTGACAAAATATAAACCTCTCGAAACATACCTATTCTGTGTTGGTGACACGACATTTGAACTGATGAAGTGGAGTATCCATCTTATGTTAGTCGAAAAGTCATCCTGAGAGATCCTCTTTGAAAAGTTCTAGTATATCTCCGGTAGAGTGTCTCACGATACACAGCATGACTCAAGGATTCATCCGAAAAACAATTTCAGTAGCCTGAATATGAATTTTAAAATGATTTGATTGATACTATTTCAATAATTTTTTAGCCATTGATTAACAATATTTTCTTTGAATTTCCGGAGGTATTTTATTTCTGTGTACCTGCTTTTGTTATTACAATTTATTCAACCAAAAAAAATCAGTGATTTACGGTGTGTTGATTAGGACAAAAAAATCAATCTGTTAATGTTATTAGTGGTTAATTTGATTTTTCTTGACAGAGGGGTTTTTTCACCAGATTTAAGTTCGTCGTCAGAATTACTTTGATTTTCGATTCACTGATAGATTATTCAAATTAAGACATAACTGTCGACATTGCAACCATTGCTTTGATTTGATTGATCATTTTGAGGTAAAAAAAACTTTATTTTTCGTCAAGACTTGGCTGATATATAGAAAAGCATTGAAAGATTTTTTGCTGAGGTTCCCCTTCTATTTCTAGTTAACCTGTCCATAGTTAGTAACGTTGAATTGGACTTTCTATATTCGAATCATAATCATTCATAAACTAAGGGTGTTCTAAGGAAGTATCTATTAGGTCGTTTCGAAAGTAATGTCGCTTTTTTCAAATGAACGCTACATTTCATAGAATCAAGATTTTTAAGAGATCTTAGAAGCATTCGATGCAGCATTTCATTCTCTTTCTAATGGTTGTAATTTCATTGCATAATTTACATTGAGCTTTCGAAAAATTAACAAAATCTGCAACTCATGCTTTTTGCCATGGTCAAGTTCGCCATTTTCTTAAAATTTTTGTACCTATTCTCCGAAGAAGTACAAGTGAAAGTTAGATAGAGCAAACCCTATAGGACACAGACTAATTTTTTCCTTTCCTTAGCTTGCTTGTTAGAGTTTCTGGAGTCAGTTTTAAAATGCCATCAAATTCCATATTTGGTCAACTCAAACCTCACAGAACAATAACCGGCAAGCAACTCGGGTGTCATTCGACGCAGCTTTTTCTCCTCTTTTTACCAGTTGTTTTTGATTTCCGATTCATCAAGTTTTCCGAGATAAAATCATCATAATTCAGGTTTTCCAGGGCGCCTCCGGCTGTACCCGGAATTCAAAAGTTGCTAATCTGAAACGGTAAACGCTCATTTGCTTTGTAAAATTAGTGTAAAACCATAATCCATTTTTGTAAGTTTCAAAATCCGAAGATTTCTTGATGTTTGATGCATTTGTGTCTGAAACGAGCCTGCTAAAATTCGGTGTTTCCATCAAAAAATCTATACAAAAATTATGACGAGCTCTGAAAAGTAGAAAAAAGTCGTGCTGTTTCCCGTAGGGTTTGCTCTATCCATATATAACTTAGACTCCTTCCGGGAGTTGTTACAAAAATTTGGAAAAATTGTGAAACTTGACCTTCTCAAAAAGCATGGGTCGCAAATTCCGATAATTTCCCCAGAGGTTATTCAATTTTGTGCGGTAATTATATAACCATTAGAAAGAGAATGAAATGCTGCATCAAACGCTACCAGAATCTCTTACACATCTTTATTCCACGAAATGTGGCGTACGTTTGAAAAAAGCGACGTTACTTTCGGAACGACCTAATATTTTAAAATTTCCACATATTTTGCTCAATCTGGAGTTGTCTTTTAGGCATGTTGAGAATTTTTAGTAGAATCTGAGTGTCAACAAACACTATCAGAGACAAAATCATTACTACAGAGCTTAATGATTTGAATGAGGAACAAACTATGAACAGTGTAACTAAAAAAAAGAAAGGAGACCGTAATAGTGACTTTTTTGCCATGAAAAGGATAACTGCAGCAATTTTTCGATTGCAAAAATTTTCAATTTTTTTTGCATGATCCCTTTCTAGACAAAATTGTAGGCAGTGACCGTGGTATTCAAAGGAAACTGGTGCAAATTGCAGCTAAATTCCTTCAGTCCCAGTATATCCAAAGTGCATTCACAATTTTTTCGGAAAAAACATCAAATCAATCGGGGTCAGAAGTGCTAAAATAAAAAACGATGATATTCACGGCGATGCAGAGAAACACAGCGGGAGTCGTGGACTTCCGCTTATCAGCGAAAATCCCATTCCGTTAGAAAGGGATCACTTGAGCGACTGCTTTCATTGTTCGCTCTCGTCGGATTTCACCTTCGCTATGCGATTATTTTCACAAGTTTTCGCGATAATCATGGGTAATCCATTTACTCTACATATATTTTGATTTTTTTGCTGTAAGATCAATAAAACCAATAAACATTTTACTTTACAGTTTCTACAGTATTTGGTCGAAAGCACGACTCAGATGAGGAGGATAACAGCTCAGGAAAGCCAATTATTCCACTTCCAAGCAAAAACGCCATTGAACAAATTGGAGCGAGATTTTTGGGTAATTTAAGCTACCCTGGTACCGCACCAATATTTCAAAATTTCAGATGCTCTAATCAAGAAAGGACAAATGGAAATGGCAAAAGGAGCCTTCAAGACCCAACTCGAAGTGTTGGAAAAAGTGCATCCTGAGCAGGTAAGCGAGATATATCTATGAATAAAACGAAAAAAACTACTAAAGGATCTTTTCAGTATGAAAAGTATAAAAAACTGAAAATCGAAGATCTCGCAGCAGATGCAGTGATGCAACAAGCAGAGATAGCAAAACTCCAACCAAAAACAGGCAAGAAATAATTCAAATTATTATATTTCATTTCAAAGTTTGGCATTTAACAATAGTTATGGTTGACATATACGTTTGGCAGCAAAAAATGCGAAAAATTCGTTAAAACTGTTTAGAAAGGCTCGATGTAAAATTATACAACAAATGATAAATTCTATTGTACTAGAGATACCGATTGATCCAAAATCAAAAAGTCGAAAAACAACTGAAAAATCATAACTATACGCCGACATTTCGTCAACACTAATTTTCATAGATAAAAATCAGGTCAGAAGCCCAAACCAAAATGAATTTTTCAGTAGACGTTTTAGCAATTTTAATAATCAAAATCTGGCACTATTCAAGTGGTTCTCTTGTATTGTTGTGATATGCCAACGAGAAATATTGGCACAAAAACTTCCAGAAAGTAAGATTTCCTTATCTCGATGATGCATCAAATCAAACGGTTTTTATGAAGTTAGAGAAAATACAAAAGTTTTATTGCAAGAGTTATATATCAGACTAATACATTATGGAATACTGAACAAAGTTATGAGCTCAGAAGATGATTTTATATAGACATCTCAATTTCTATTTTTTGCTCTTGTTTCCAAAATTATCTTCTTTTCAGGTAATCCCATGATCGATATGCTAAACGAAAACGGCATTCCTATCTCAAGCAGTTTGAAAGGTCTAGAGCAAGCAATCAAAACTCAAAGAGAAATGGAGACTCAAGATCCATCCGAACAGGTTGCACAGTTTTTCTTCATTAAATACTGTTTTTGTTTTTGAATTTTCAAAATTTCAGATTGCAAAAGCAGTGCTGGAGAAGTTCCAACAACAAATACTTCCCGGACTGGTAGCAAATATGATTGCTGGTCGGAATCCGTTCAAAATACCACAACAGATGAGATCACCACAAGCTGAACCAACTGAGATTAGGCGCATGGCTTTGGTAAAAGATTTTACTCAAAACGACTCAGATTTTCCAGCATTAACTTTTTCAAGGACTTTTTCATAACAGGCTTTGCTTCGAAGAGTTGATTTTATTCCAGCAAACCGCCCACCAAAACGATCCGGACGATTATCAACCCGCGTCTCTGCCAGCTGCTACATATCGTTCGAGTCATCCAAGCGAGAAGTACCGTGGCGGCTACCGTAGCGAAGACGAACAGAATTCTTTTGACGAATATTCTAGAAGAGGACTTCTGCGAAAATTACGTAGCAGCCCTCGCTTAAGAGCTTTGCTTGAGGTAAGACATTCCCCTTAGAGCATTTCGTTTTGAGAATGTAAGGATGGATTTCCAGAATCCAGAAGTTGCTTCGGTGCTCAGTTATAGAAGTTTGCGAGATGAACCATTGCACGGCAGACCACTTGCTAGCGATAATGATGTGCAGTATGAACAGCAAAAGGTGAGCAAGTATTTTCAGGGAATAAAAGCAGATAATAGAAACTGGGAGATTTTTACGATTCATGGTGTTTGCCCACTGCCGACAAAATTGCGCTCAAGAGATGAGCATGAGGAACAAAATTTGGAAAAGGGCGCCCATGGTCATTTACACGCGCAAATGTTGTAACCACCGCAAAAGTAAAATAAACCTTGAGTCCGCAGACTAAATCCTCAACTAAACTAAGATTTTTAAGGTTGACGACAAATTCTCTCAAAAATTCTTGAAAGTTCCATGTAACACCAGATGGTTAAAAAAGAAATGTAATGCATGGCTTCTTTTCTGAGTAATGTGCATACTTATGAATAGTTTGATATTCATAAAGAGAATTGAACTGAAATTCAAATTCTTTTGCTGTGGAAATATTTTCTTAATTGCTATGAATATAAAAATGATGTTTCCGATAACGTAACTTATTCTTAGTTTGATTTAATTATAGGACAGCTCATAATCGGGATTTTTAATCATCAGCTACTCGTAAGCAAAATCATATACGCTTTATTTACTCTATTTCATTTTTTCATTTGCACAAGGCACTATTTTCGGACGATGAAGCTTGTGCAAATGATAAGAATGTAATTTTATTAAGAGAAAAATTTTATTACTGCTAGCCTTCAAACTTTCACGCGCATTTTCAAAACTATGTTAAACTCTGTACTTAATTTGAGCCGCCCTCGGAAAAAAATTTCATTTTTCAAAAAAAAAAAAGAAATCGTTATAAGTGACATCTTGAAGGTTTTCAAATCGGAAAAAAATCAAGCATGTGTCTGTTTTGCAAGTTTGTAAGTCAATCATGCTCTCTAAAGGGCCGGGCATACTTCACGCGATTTCAGTAGCGACGCGATTTGGCAATTCGCCAGAAGTCTTCAGATCCAGCAAGTCTCAAATATAATCCAAAACTGTATTAACAAAGTCGGTTGAATCCTACATACAAATAGAGGATGGGAAACATGCACATCTCTTTCCTCCATACTATCTTCCATTCCCCCCCCCCCCCCTCCTTTTTCCATCAAGCCGGGTTACCGCGCTGTAAAAGTTACGAGGAGGAGGTGCCACTAAGCAATTTCAAGCTATGGAAAATTAGATCGCATATAGTGGCCGGTCCTAGCCACTTAACCCCAGCTTTTTAGATAATCTTTGCTTCAATGCTTCAATCCTTTCCGTGGCTCTTGAAGCATTGCCGCTTAAAATGAGTCTTGAAATAAATGAAATCTTTCAGCCAAAGCTCGATACGAAATCAGCACTTGTGCTAGGTTTGCACGAGATATATGAGGAAGACGAGAATGATAGGGAAGAACAGGTTAGCGGCAATGAGAAGAATGTCTAAACAGTTCATAATTTCTTTAGTTTTATAGGAATCAAATCAAATAAGGCGATCACCATTTTCGCTCTCTCCTGACTTCGTCAAATCGCTAAAAAGTAATCCAGAAGTAAAAGAAGCGCTAAACAGAATCAAGTATAGGTAAGTAACCTAGCGCAAGTAAAAATTAGTTACTTCCCTCGAATGAGATTGTTACAGAGTAGAAGATGTCGAAAAATACCTCAGTCCAAAACCAATTATACAAAATCCAAAACCACAACCTGGTTATTTTGTCCCAAGAAAGCTCCCAACGAGGTAAGTCAGCCAAATTCTGTTTTATTCTCGGATCAAAATTTCCCATCTTAACTTACAGGCCCCGCAAGATGCTTCCTCTTATAGTTGGCATAGATCCTGAGGAACAGACAGAAATTCGTCGAATGGGTATTGGTAATCCTATTGGAATGGTGCACAAGAAGTCTAGGGTAGGAAACTTCTTGAGATGAGGTGACTTTGTCATGGACATGAGTTTAGGTTTTGGCAAATCTACAAAATAATCCTAACATTGCCCCACTATTTATGGACGGAAATCTTGAGGAAATTCTGAGCGGAAGGTTAGTGAAGATGGGAAAAAATTTACGAGTCAATGGATAAACTTCAATACTAGCTTATTTATAATCTCTATCAAGAAACTATAGTCGAGTGGGTTCGCCTGCCAATGTGTGCAATTGCACATTTTCCAACCTTTGGCGAGTAGGAACCAAGTATAGAACTGTGCCCAGCAGGAGAATGAGCAATAAAACACAAAACAAAGCATTTTCGAGCACTTCGATAACCTTATCCTAGGATTTTTGCAATCACAGACAATGGCAAGAAAATAATCGACACTGAAATGTTTTCTTGAAGTCAAAACATAGCTTTGTATAAAATTTTTACTGCATTGACCAGATAAAAATGACGTTTAGAGAGATTCTTTCCCCGGAACAGAAAGGGAAGCGAGCAGTCAAACAAATCAAAGCCTTTCCTCGTTTATTTGGTTCGAAAACCTACAATCCGATCGATGGCAAAGTGTCACAGGTAAGTAAAATTTCTTACTAACTCAAATCTTTCTGAGAATTAAAAGGTAACCGTTCAGGTGATAGAAGAAAGACCTGTTCCACCTCTAGTTTGGACACCGACCGGTCGTCACACACGTCTACGATGGGTTGGAGCCACAGAAAAAGAAATTCCAGGACTTGGCGGACGGTTTATCCTCCCCTCACTTGATCCAACGATGCCGGCCGTGAACACAGCTTACTCTACTCAGGGAAGAACTAGGTAATGAATCAGTAGCTGTGGGAAAAATCTGCTGAAAGTCTTTTTTTTATAGAGACGAATGGGACACAACATTCAAGATTCCCAATGCTTGGCAAGCAGGAGACGATGTGGGATTTTCGGTGAAATCAAAAAGCCAACGATTTATAGGCGGTAACGGAGGATTTGATATGCCTGCAGCTCATCTGAGAAAATGATCTCTAATGCTGTTCAAAATGGACTGTTTCCTATGCTCTGAGTTTGCGCCTTATCTTCTAATAATACTGGTATCCCTTATAATAAAATCTACAAGATTATTTTTACAGCACATTGTAAGCAGGCTTGCCAGATACCCAAAGTCAAGCTCTCTATAATTTTAGGCCATCAATTGTAAAAAAATAAAACCTATGCTTCGTACCTTCTGAATTGTCGAAAAGTGGCTCTTTCGAGCATGAATGCTGCTGAGTTGGCGTGACGCGAGCGGCCAATAAACCATATACGTGTTTGTCTGATCGACCACTCGCGTCACTCCCAGGCCCGATCTGTCAAAAGCGACTTCCGGACTAAATTAGGAAGAAACCTGAGCCCACAATTTACTCACTTGAAAAGCATGATGCAGCATCATGGGTGCTAATTGGCTGAATGGTTGCGCGTCTCATTCCCACTGAGCAATGTTCTAACAAACATGTAAGCATACTTTTCCACTTGGCAAGACGTAGATTTACGTGAAGAATTTTTTTTAGTGACAAAGCTGTTCATCAACTTGATCGTATACAAATTTATTCACCTGATAAAGCTATACTTGCACATACAGATGATAATATCACAAAACTCGTACTCGTGTAAGTGCCTTCCGACGCAAGCTCAACAATCAGTGAGTGAATGATAGAACTTGACAGTAAAACAAAAAAGAATTCCCATCCAAAGCAAACCTACTATGTGTTCTGTTCCAACCGCAAACAGATTTCCCCTTAGTCTTAGGCAAATGATGCACTAGCTGATATGTTGAGCACTAGCGAACAGATTCGAAGCTCGCCTTTAAGCCTGTTCCCAATTGAAACGAGAAACGAATTGTATTTGCAGGATCCAAATATTGATATTAAAATTGTAAAAAGGCAAGAGACATGAGAGATAACTGTGACTAGATCGGATGAAAAAGCATATGCGCGTTATGATGTTGAATTCTTGGGGGAAGAAGACAGTAATACAAATTAGTAAGAAGGCGTAGCTTGATAGACCCATAATGAATACCGTAGTAAAATAAATTATCGTCAAAGACTCGTGATGACTGGAAGATGATGTTTGTTTGCAAAAATGGGCAATGAAAATCTTCATGCTAAACTTGCAATTCTCATGACCAGCTTGTCACCAACTTGAGCATAACTCTCTGCTAAACTTCAGCAGATTGAAGTAACGGTGTATTGGGTGCTCCTTCATCGACCTGAATGAGGAGACATTGAGTTCCGCAAGAATAAGTGATGCACTGATTACCTCTGTCTCCGATTCTTCATCACGAAGTACTCTTCTCGTGAATGCAGCAAGCTTTTCACGATTTTCCTGTCTTTCAGTAGCGGTGAATTTACGTACAAACAACTGTCTCATCATTCTTCCAGCGGCTGTGGAAGGCCTATCTGCATGATCTCGCTTTGGAGTCCACTCATCGCTTCCAAACATTGCCTTAAAAACCATTAGATCAACAGGTGATTATTTTTGCAACAAATCTCACCATTTCCTGCGTTTTGCTCAACATAACTGCACCCTTTTGTTTTCGCGCACTGCGTCTTCGTCTACGCGGGCGTTCGTCGGGATAGCACTTGTTGATGAAGCTAATGAACGGCATCGCTGTTCCACCAAGAAAGAGCGTGGTGAAAAGAATCAGAAACAGCGTCGTCGTTAAAATGACAGATTTCTTCTCCTTTTCGACTTCCATGTACAAAACTAAGGCAAAGCATACAGCACCGCGCATTCCTGAAACAAGGGAATCACTGGAATTAGAAAAAATTATGATAGAATTAAAAATAGTAATTGATTTTGAGGGCCCTTAAAGGCAGCGTCCAGGCAAGTCTGGACCTATGGGGATTTTACGTGGAAAGTACTTTTGGGGCCCTAACTAAGCCACTGCCCAACCAGCAGCTCAGGTAGTGCCCTAACGCCTGAGATATTCCCCTCGAAACTGGACCCCGCGACCGTGTTTCGCATGGATTCATGGCGCAAAGCGTGGATCCTGGCGCGAAACTGCCATAAATCCATGCGAATACGTTCGCGGGGGCCAGTTTTGAGGGGAATATCTCAGCCATTAAAGCACTACCTGAGCTGCCACTTGGGCAGTGCCTTAGTTAGGGCCCCCAAAAGTACTTTCCACGTAAAAGCCCTATAGGTCCAGATCTGCCTGGACGCTGCCTTTAACTTGGCGAGAGATCATTCGTCTAAAAGGCAATGTCCGGACAAATTAGGAGTCCTAAAAATCGAAAACGAAAAAGAGGAGGGCAGCCTGTGACTCTCCAAAATGCACAACGGAACACAACGAGCAAGATCATGTAAAAGAAAAATTGTAAGAGGAGAAAGATCTGCTCAGTCAGGGTTTTATAAGACATAGATTACGGGGTAAGACTGAATGGAAGACTCGCCAATTGGAAATGAAAAATTTATTATCGATATAACACAACCAACCGCTAAACCAAAGGATGATTTGGTTTTTCATTGAGATCTGAACCTCACGTCGACATTTGTTCACAGCATATGAGATCGGAAAAATATTCAATGCACGGCTAACAAGACATAGCACCTGATAAGAATCGATTCATAAAGATAGAATAAACGATGCTGGATTACTTACTATGCACCAAAAAATTAGTGATGGCTGAAAGTTGAGTTTGATGGTGAAGAATGCCATGCCGATATACGCAAATGTTGAAGTTTCTGAAAAGAAGGATATTGTTCACACCTGTAGAAGAAAGAGGATCTCCATCAAAATTTTCAGTATGCTCAAAAACTATGCCTTCTGGTAAAAACCACAAAGTGATGTTTACAGAGACCATGGTTCTCGAGATGTCGTTCAAGTCTACGTCAACTATAGCCGTATCTGCATATCGAGTTTTCGGGGCTTACTCCCACAGGGCAGCACTATTGACCAAATCATTTACACAGCTCAGCTGTGCTCGACGATTTTTTGTATGCGCAGCTGCGTCAACCGTTTCTCGCAGATGCGTTATAGCAAACATCACAGACCATTGAACACCTTTTGCAAGTAAAATTTGATTCCCAAATCATACCAGCTGCTTTGATCAGAAAAAATTTTTCCCATTTCTCATTTAATCCGAGGAATAAGGACTACCTGCAAAAGTGATTTGCGTGAATACTACCAGTAGTCGCCTCAGAAATGCATCAACCGCTGATCATAGCTAAGTGGAATTTGCGCAAAAAATATCGAATCATCACAACGTATAATTTCGAGATATGCGTATTACAAAGGCCTCATGAGAAAAAACATGTAAACCGATCCGAAATTTCTGCTTACCTGCCACAAAAGAGATAGTCCTGAACGTCTGTCGAAAGGTGATTTGCGTCACAGGGCTGATATTTTGTTGCGTGTATTGGGACATAGTGATACCACAAAACAAGATGGCCATGATTCCTGAAAGTGTTGTTTTAGAGAGCACAACACCATCAAACGATAAATAGCACCTGATAGTGAAACAGCCTCAGCGAAACCGTATGGAATATAGGCGAAAACTAGGAGAAGTGCAAACTCAAGCGATGGCGTCTTTCTGAAGTCGACGTGCTTGAACAGCTGGAAATAAAATATGCTGGAGAATAGTTTCGCTTTTTCAGTCTCGAATCACCCACCAAAGCACTGAGAAGTCCAATAGCCAATCCAAGTGCGGCTGATAAGGTAAACATGGCAAGGAAAGTTATTGAGACACTCCATAATATCTCGCCCGGTCCGAGACTAAAAGCAAAGTGTGATACTTATGTAACAGACTATAAGTAGTGGATATTAGCAGGAGTATGGTTGACAACAAGTGATTCTCGAAATGCAGCAAACAACTAAATGATGTAAATTATATGTACCATGAAGGACTGTATGCAAGTTGAAGCTGATTTGTTCTTGGAGCTTGCTAAAGTTATGGATCTATACTAAGTGACCTCTGTTCCTAGGAATCATATGCCTCAAAAAACCTTATGAATCATCTTCAGTAAATAAGCGATCGGATTGTAAAGACTGCTGCAGCAATTTTCTCCATCATTTCCTGACAACAAATTTTCCCTAAAGGTTTCCATGAAAAAACCGCTCACAATGACCAGTTAAAGGAGACGGCTGCAGGTTACAAGAACGAAGTGACTCATATTCATAAAAAACTATTTGATGTCCACTGTTCAGCCAATTTATGAACATTTTCCCACAACGTCACCTGTTATACGGTGGATGGGAATGTCTAATGGCTGTAGCTGCGAACACAATAGATACGGCGTCGTTGAGCATTGATTCACCAAATACCAACATATAAAGCAAGCCTTCAACCTAAAGACACTTATTTTCGACTGCTGCATATATCAAATGAGAGAGCAAATCGTAGAAAAACCTGGAAGGCTTACCTTCACAGCTTGGAAAATAGCTAAGGTAGCGACTGGATCAACAGCCGATATCATGGACGCGAAAGCAAAGCATTCGAATACAGACAATTCGTACACAAGATCCGCCTACAACAAGAAAAATTAGCGCTTGGATCAAATCTGACAGAGATAAGATACCTGGCCAAGAACATATATGCAGAATCCAATTACAAGTGCTGATATGGCAGTACCCAGTATCGCAAAAGAAAGTATAGGGCCGATATTTGAGAAAAAATATCCTTTATTAAGATTGTACGCATTCTCAAATATGATGGGAGGAAGCAAAACAAGGAAAAATATGTCTGAAAGAAGCAAAAATAAAACATTAATATCAAGCAAACAGGAGTACCTGGACTTAGCGCTTCGATCTCACTATAATCATGATCTGAATAGGACAATATTAGTCCGACGACCGCACCTGAATTTATGATACAATTAAATAATTTAGAATTTCATAAAGCTAACTATCAAATAAGAATGCCAAGAACATACCCAAAATGACGATCGCTAAGCTCTCCGGCACGAACTGAATCTTCGATATGATCAAAACATGTACGATAAGTATGGCCAGCACAAGCACGAAAAGTATGAAGAAGATTGCCTGAATGTGACAGCAGGATCACCGTAACGCGAAAAAAAGAATGTTCTACGCCTTCCCACATGCAATCAAATTTTGACGATTGTTTTACATGAACTATAAAATGATGACTAGAACAGAATTTTGTTGATCGATGACTGGGTACCTCGGAAACCATTACTGCAAAATGCAGTGGAATAGTAAGATAGCATTTCAGTGGATAAAGCGCACTTAGAACTAGCTAGTACAAATAAATGAACTATAAAATTGATAAAACTAAATAATCCTTTCAAAATGAGCAAAACATTACGCATACATACAAAAAATATCGGCTTGATGATTTTCTGCTCGAATATTCTGAACAGACCAACGGATTGTAGTAAGGACTTACTAAGGATCGCCGTTTCTCCTCCATTTCATTACCCACGATTGCAGCACCATGCTGTTCGATATTAGAAGTATTGGAATCAATGACAACACTGAAAAGGGAAACCATCACTCTCAAAACAGACGCGTACATGGCTCTTATAAACGGCGCCTCGACCTGACAATCAAATTCGACGTGATGACATTTTCACAACGAACAAGCAAAAAACCCGAACAAAGTTCAAAAACTTACCCGAAAGCATCTGTTTTGTTAGGAGTAACGCCCATATCAGATTCCACATAATTACTTGACGATGACTGCAAGATGAGGAAAAATATCACCAGTGAAGCACTGGCAGCAAATAAAACATTCATCTTTTTTGGCGATAACATATAGCCGGGACGCTATAGAATAGCTGTGTTTCCAACGGCCACACAACACGTTATCCTCTCATCTCCGAGTCGCCGTCTCTGCAAGTTCTTCAGCGAGTTCAGTGGGAAAAGGGCGAAATTACGCACTCAAAGCAATCGGGATCGTAGGGAGAACAAGGTTAATGCGTAACAAACGAAGCATATATGAGTAATTTATTCACTCGCGAGCCTGTCTGATTTTGAAATTTATAAAAAAAAACTGTTCATTCCCATCCTCGCTACATCTAGATAAGGTGGATTCGCAAGCAAAAGTGTTCTGATTCAACAGGAACGTTAGATCTAATTAGACTGATATACGCAAATGAAATTTTTGGAGACATTTCACACATAATACACCCAAAATTCCCATAAGGAGCATTAAAATGCACGAGGAGAGTTAAGGGAAACACTGACCTAACATAGGTGATATGCATTTCAAAAAGTGGGAAATTTTGGCAAGATATTACAGCAATACGAGAAAGAATAAGGTCCAAAATTTGCTGAGCTTTACATGTATAATTGAACGGATACCTTGTAAGAAGTATCAGAATAAGAAAATCATCAACAGATAATTTAATATTGTGAATCAAGTACATCTTAAGAACAAGGCTGGACGACACCATATGCTGATGAGTGTAAATAAGATATCACCTTATCTAAACATGTAAAGCTCAGCAAATTATCTTGATTCTTTTCGGTACACGTACCGTAATCTCACCCTAACACGACCGAGCTGTACTTCAAAGCGACTATAACGCAATAAAAATGACCAATATGTCGTCTTCTTACCGTAGACCCCTGTGATTTGACAAAAAACATCCCGGTATGCGCCATTTTTGCGAAATACAGAGCAGATAATAGCTCCAGATGCGGTTATGACAACCGAGATATCAAAAGTTTTGGAATGGTATCAATTCCAAATGTACCATGAAGAACCAAGAAAATAATGGAAGAAAGTCCATCAAACATGGCATGCGATACGGAGTGAACCACAAGCTGGAGGCTGACGGCCAGCATGGCAGCAATAAAATCCATAATTTTGTTTACTTTTCGTATGCAATGCTATGTAAACAATAAGCCTTGAAGCTTCTGAAGAAAATATGACAACACAGCACCCAAGGCTGTTGAAATAGAGATGACAAGCAAATTGAAAGCAAGCGCTGCACGAACTATAACAAGGTATGGGGATTTGTGAGCAAATTCAAGAATGAAGGAAAATGAATGTTCATTACTAATGAATTAGAGTGACAGAAAACCAGCAAGTAAGGAGTCAGAAAACCAGCAGTGCGATTATTAGATCATATGTGTGCAGTTGCGCACAATGCGCCTACAGACGACGCATCTGACAATGAGGTAATATGAAATTTAGAGTAAGACATATTAGATAGTGAGTTGTTCAATCTTGATATTCTAGAGGAAATTCAAAAGAGCAATTTTGAAGGTCAAAAACTCATGAAAATGCATTTCAAAACAAATTTGTAGATATTTTAATCCGATTTACAGCAAAAACCATGAAACTCAGCAAGTGGTGACCTCAGACAGATAGTAAGCTAATGCACTTTATCCGGTAATTTTTGAAGACTCGCATAGCACTAAAGTGGAGTTTTAAGTTGGCGACAGCCAGAGAAATCGCGCCTCTTGACCGTCTCCCGGTGCCAGACTATTAGGCGAAAACCCATTTTTTTGCACCCCAAAGAACTCCCCGTGCAAAACGTCTCCGGCGCCAAAAACAGGGGGGAGGGGGATCGGGGCAAAAGGCGCGCAGAATTAATGTCTGCTGCTGCTAAGGCCTGCTTCAGCTGCAGGGCGCAGAATTAACGTTGATTCTGTGCCCCTTTTGCAGTTCAACAAAATATTCGCTTAGGTAGGTGCCAGAGTAAGCGAATATTTTGTTCAGATTGGGGTCCCGCGCGGAATGACGTCACTTGGATTGACGCCAGCATGGTGAGTGACGTCAGTTCTGCGCGGGACCCCAACCTGAACAAAATGTTCGCTTACTCTGGCACCTACCTTAGTCTGGCACCTACCTGAGGCAGCTTTAATTATTATGATACTAGCTGGCTTACCCGGCTCCGCCGTATCCGGACCAAACTTGGCACACATACACTTCGGGCCCCGGCGGGTGTCACAGTCCACTTTTCGTTATCGATCGATGTCGATTTTACCGATTTATATCGATTTTTTTGCAGAGTTCACCTACAGGGCTAGGAGTTGGCACAGGGGGGGAAGTGAGCATGGGGATTCCGAATACAATATTAGTTTTCAGAATTATCGATTACTTTTATTGATTTTATCGATTTTTTGTAAATTTTGACATGCGAGGCTGGGATTTTGCACAGGGGGTAATCGAGCATGCAGATTACGAATACAATATTAGTTTTCAAGATCGTCCATTACTTTTATCGATTTTATCGATTTTTTGAAAATTTGAGCTAGGGGGCTGGAATTTGGCACAGGGGTGTAATCGAGCATGCTGATCACCCCCTTGGGGATGATCAGCATGCTCGATTACCCCCTTGTGCCAACTCCCAGCCCTCTAGCTCAAACTTTGCAAAAAAATCGATAAAATCGATAAAAGTAATCGATAATCCCGAAAACCAATATTGTATTCGGAATCCCCATGCTCGATTACCCCCCTGTGCCAACTCCCAGCCCCGTAGCTCAAACTTTGCAAAAAAATCGATAAAATCGATAAAAGTAATCGATAATCCTGAAAACCAATATTGTATTCGGAATCCCCATGCTCGATTACCCCCTGTGCCAACTCCCAGCCCCGTAGCTCAAACTTTGCAAAAAAATCGATAAAATCGATAAAAGTAATCGATAATCCTGAAAACCAATATTGTATTCGGAATCCCCATGCTCGATTACCCCCCTGTGCCAACTCCCAGCCCCGTAGGTGAACTCAGCAAAAAAATCGATAAAAATCGATAAAATCGATATCGATCGATGACGAAAAGTAGCCTATGACACCCGCCGGGGCCCGTAGTGTATGTGTGCCGAGTTTGGTCCGGATCGGTTCAGAAATGGAATTTTCTATTCGGAACATACGTACAGACAGACAGACATACAGACAGACAGACAGACATACATACAAACAGACATTCAGCTTTATATATAAGATTATGCTGTGCTCTTTCGCGTAGTACTAATGGTTTTGAGTGTTTTTCAAAACGTCGCGGGCATGGGCATAAAGGGTTCTTCTGAACGCAAGAGTGCTTAAGATAGAGAGCTTAGATTCGTACGACAATCGGAATATCCCAGCTCGGGCATAAATTCTGGCAGAGCGATTTCTGAACTCACGACTCTGGATTTCGAATAAAGGTGTGTGTTTACTAGGTGGTGTGTTCGGGGGTAAAACTTAGCGAAGCTTTGCGGATTTGATTTTAACATTTTGTCATAACGAAAGTAGGTTGATTCAGGAAGTAACCGCCAGGAATCGGAATTCTAATGGTTGTTGCGAAAAGTCACATAAAATCGCACTGTCTCAGACACTCGCGATTGAGTCGCGCAGGGCAAAACGACTCAGACACTCGCGGTTGAGTAGCGCAGGGGATCCGCCCACAAAATGGGGGTTCGCACCAAAATCCGGTGGACCGGCGCGAGTCATCATTTTAGTTTCGTCCCGATTTTGGTGCGATTTTGTCGCGACGGGCGAGGAGATTTCGAAATAATGCACCTATAGGTCAATTCTTCCCAGCATTTGTTGTTTTTTCTCTTCCTTTTGATTTGAAAACTCTTTGAATTGTTATTTTGTACTGTCCAGGGATGACTCTTGTCATATTGGCTGGTTGCTGACTTTTTAGCTTCGTAGCAAATGACCTATTGGGTATACTGTGCGAGACTTTTGGGTATTGTACCCGAGTAAACTTACTTTTGGTGGTTCAGTGGATTCTTCGAGGTAAACAGACAGTTGAGAGGGCGAGCGTTTATTGGGGCGGTTATCGCCAATGTAGAGTAACAACTGAAGGGGGGGCCAAAGCCACCAGAAACGATAACGGGGCCGCGCCCCGCCCCCCTAAGAAGACATCATCGTCGCTAAGAAGACATCATCGTCGCCGATGATACTCCGGGGAGCAGGGGGGCTACAAATTAAATACGACAATATGGCAAAACAACAATGTACATAAAGTATGGTCTTTTGTCGACTTCCTTGTTGAGAGTGGCAGGCATGGGGGAACGTGGCGGCTTGACGGTCTGGCTGTGGCATGATGATCGGCTGGTGGCTTGGTGGATGGCTGCGGCTTGACATGGGTGGCAGGGCTAGGCGTTGAACGGCTTGTGGCTTGGCGTGGATGGGGGCGGCTTGGCGTGGATGGCGGCTTGACGTGGATGGGCTTGACGTGGGTGCTTGACGTGGACGGCGGCTTGGCGTGGACGGCGGCAGCGACATCTCAGTTGTTCCGCGGCCTCTTCTGCCCGTGCGGTTGAGGCCTTCTGCGATTACACAGCAGCGAATTATGGCCGAGGCCACAACCGCTACAGGTAAAATTGCAATTGTCCTCATGCACGGGCTTGAGGCACTTCAAGCACAGTCCGAGATTGGTTGCTCGGACTGTGCGGGATACGGGGTCGGGGAAACGTGTACACCGCCCCGAGATGTGTTGATCGCGGTTCTCATCGAATGTGCAAAATGCACAATTCGACTTCGGTTGAGTGCGATCAAGCAGCATCTGGAGGGCTGCTTCCACGGCGTCCAGGCGACGCAGGCGACTGTCGATGGCGTCCAGACGGGGTGTCAGGAAATGCACCAACGTCGACACATCGCAGGTATCGAGCTCGTCCAGGGCAGCACGGATGTCGGATGTTGAGGACATTCTTGGGTGAACATCTCAATTTTAGCCCTGTATTTATACGGTTTCGTATCGGACCGCCTCTTCAGGATTTTTTGAAGATTCCGCACGTTGCCCAAGGGGTCATCGAAAGTTATGCATGGTCTGCATAATAGCTAGAGGGGAATTATGTGCATATCATTGAGTATGGAGTGTGCTCATATTTTTGAGCACATTTTTTATGACCCCTCACTTTGCTTAAGGCAATTGTGGAGTATTTTTACGATATGGAATGTTCTTTATGTGATTAGTTATTGTTTTTACAACTATGTACAG